TTGAAATTATCGGAGATATTTCCTCAATTGATCCATCTGGAATTGAAAATTTCCAATGTAAAAGATTGGAATATTGTCGGTGATACATTTCCGCATTTGACATCATTACAACTTGATTTACCGGCTGAATCTGCCCGACCGGATGTTGGAAATCTCTTCAAAAACTGTCCAAACATCAATTCGTTACAGATCAGCTACAGTTCATTGAATATTTTAAAAGCAGCGAGTGATTTCCTACCGAAGTTGAAAAAACTGTTTTTGCTAGAATTTTCCGTTGAACCATACAAAGGCAGACGAATTCATTTCAAAAATGTGAACTATTTCATCTTCACAGAATTGTCAATGCAAGACAGTAGATTGATTCCTCGATTTTTAGTGTTTCATCAGCTTCAATTCCTCTTTTTGACTCTTGGCCACGATTTTACTGACGATTGGATCATCTTCGTTTCCAAGCTACAAGGCAAAACTCTTGAATATCTCGTTCTATCAGCCGACTCTTTTAGCTGCGAACAACTCTCAGCTATTGTTGATAGCCAACCGAATATCAGATGGACACAAATTCAGGTCAGAACAGAAATTGCAGCCGTTTCGATCATAAATTTTGTGGAAAAGAGTACGAATCTATTTCGATTTCAACTTGAGGGCCACTTGAATGATATTGCCGAACGCAATCAACTGGAGGAACAACTCGAATTGAATTGGAACGTTAATTTTCATTACTACAGCTTGAACTCTTTTACTATTTCGTTGACAAGGTAAGAGACATTTTTGGGTGTTTGGAAATGATTCAAATTGATTATGACATGATTTACTGTCGAATCTCATGAAAAACTTAAAAACATTTTTTTTTTAAATCAGATATTTTTGAGCAATCCGAATTGAACTTAAATTTTTTCTATATTTTCACACATTTTCTCTGCAAATAGATTGACCAATATAACTGAAGCTGATGATAATGCTGGGACGACACTTGTTTCCATTCCAATCCTTGTTATAGCCTCTATTCTTGTTTTGGATTACATAAAATAAAGTGAATTTTTGTTAAATAACTCAAATCAACACTTTTTTTGAATCGTTTTTCACTTACACATGAGTATTGACAATTTGCTTCACAAAGGAGTTGATTTATTCCATATCTATAGCCAATCTGCTCACTGCAAAGTGCAAAGGATCGATCAAACTGTTATTCTGCTCATGTTCTTCCATCGAGTCGCATGCACTTATGTGTATATATGGAAATTGTACGTCTATTCATAAGGACGGATACGTTTGACGAAGATTCATTCCGTTTCTCCAATGTTAATGTTCTTGTTTTTTGTTATTTCGTTTTTAGGCTCAATGTCAAAATTAGAAAGCACAGTGCTAGTTTATCGGATGGCCAAACATAAATAGCTCATCAACCTCAATACAAGGAGCGCTGCACTGCGCTGCGAGTGTTTGCTATACATATAAACGTACTGGTATACTATCCCATTTAGGTTTCAAAATGCACAATCAAATTGAAACATTCTTTATTTTGTTTGCATTGCTCCACCATCTGATAATGTTTATATACGATATAAATATAAGTTTGTAATAAAGATACGATACGATACTATATCACACGGGACATGTGTACCTTGCATCGGCAGATTTGCGTGTGCGGTTTTGCTCACGATTTACGTTTGTGAAGTGAACAGTCGATTATAAAATGCCAACAGAGGAGGTAGGTACTGAAAATAAATCACTCGGACTTTTAATAAACATTTGGATCGCGTTAACTTAGATTCGGTTTGATACGAAAGTGTAATAAAATTTAAACACAGAGGAAAAGATGAAAAATTTACTGTGCAATACGAAGTTGCACTGAAGATAATCTGCTACGGAGAAAAATAAACAATTAGCAATGGAGAATTTGGATAAACACATTAAGATTTTACTTGATGTTAAAGAGATGAAAGCACAGCGAAAAATGCAATTTATCGATCATCGTGATCTTGTGAGACTTTCCCAAACAAAAGAACGATCAAAAGTGTTATTAAGGCAAGCAAAAATGTAATCAAGTTAGGCATTCTTATTAGTATTGACCGTAGTGGATCAGTGAATGTTTCAAAATGTTCTGGTAAAATTGAGGCTGTGAGAATGAAAATGGCAATACAGGAATGAACATTCTGAAGCGCATCAAGAAAAAAAAATTCGCAAAAGTGAATCATGAGTTCTGAATACGCAAAAGTGATCCATGAACCTCCTATGCTGCCCATGTAAATTCATGTTTCACTTTTGCATATTCAGAACTCATGATTCTTTTTTGCGAATTTTTTTTTCTTGGTGCGTTTCAGAATGTTTATTCCTGTATTACCATTTTCATTCTCACAGCCTCAATTGGTATTGGGCGACAACTTCAGAAAATGACAATTGGTTGCATTTTGTTGGCAATTGCGTTTTTCCTTTTCGGCAATCATCGAATTCTGGATTGAATCATCACCAGAAAACTCTATAACAATACTTTGGCAAATTTCACAATTTGTGGTTCTAACGATAGGCGAGATTTTATTTGCAGTGACCGGTTTGTCGTTTTCATTTATACTGATTTTCATATTGTATTCACAGATTGTACGCGCTAAAACTTCTCCTAAAACTCCTACAAATCATGTTTTTCGCCACGATTGGATTCATCATTTATAAAATGCTTTTCTAAAAACAGAAGATACTCAGTCAAAAAGTGTACTTTTGTACATTTCTCTTATTCAGATCGAATGTGTTCTAAACGGGATTTATTTCCCGGATTTTATTTATTTATTCTATACTTTTTCGATTGAAGTGTCTGTCGTAAAATCACTACTGCTAAACAGCCAATCACATTTTCTTAACATCTAACACATTGTATGTTTTTTTTATTTATTTAATACATTTTCCTGTATTTTTGAAACGTATTTATTGAAATATATAAAATAACAATTAGATGACACCCACAGAATGAAAGAACAACTTACGAAAAGATAGCGACTAGGTGTCTTCAGTTCATTTGCTACAATAATGCCGAAGACACCTTATTTTTATCTATTTCCAGTAGCAAGAAAAATGCAAAAATCGTCTTTTCTGCTCAATGCTCACTTTTGCTCGCAACTATATTTATCTCTTTTTTGCTCAAAGTTTTTTCCGTCTCAGTTATGGATAAAGAGTTCATAGGTTGTTCTTTTGTTCTATTTGTGTCAAATAAGCTGGAGCTTTAATCACACAGTGCAACACTCTTTTTTCCTTCGAAGCTTTGTATTTTCCAGACAATGTATTTGGATAATGTCAGCTAGCTAACTGAAAATATCTCTCTAAATCCAATCTCAAATTAGTCCTGCAGAGCTCTTGACGAGTATTGAAAAGCTGGTCCATTTCAAGCGGTAGAGGATTTATTTCGAAAGACACGTAAATAATGTTCGATATCAAAAATTGGTTTTAAGCTAGCTTGCATACTTGGCGAGTCAAGAACGACTTCATGGGTTGAAAAATGATAACAAATTCATCAAAGACATTTTGAGTTTTTGACATTTGACTATTTATTTATTTCTTTTATACAAATGAATCTAAGATTTGAAAATAACATAATAATATCTTCATAGAAAACATGAAGTAAAAAATTGAAGCTGATCGATGATGAAAAATGTCATCAATCGTTTTTTTCTTACATTTGGTGCAATATCACTTTTGAGAATTATACAAACGTGTGTAAATGCCATTCAATGCCAAGAGTTCGTCGTGTGTTCCATACTCAACGATATTACCACCGCGTACTACACAAATTGCGTCAGCATTTTGAACGGTGCTCAAGCGATGAGCGATCACCAAACATGTGCGGCATGATCTAGCCGAGTCAAGAGCTTGTTTTACCAACTATGGAAAAGTTATTGATAAGTTAAAATTGTGTCCAAAGCATTGAATGCCTTTTCATGTACCTGTTCACTGTGCAAATCTAAAGCAGATGTGGCTTCATCCAACAAAAGAATCTTTGGATTTCTAATCAAGGCACGAGCTATGGCTATTCGTTGTTTCTGACCTCCAGAAAATTGTGATGTTGAACCGACGTTTGTTTCGTAACCCTTTGAGGAAAAAAAAAGCATGACGATTGTATAGTGTATAAATTGCAAATGGATTGAAATCCAAATGGCCTATGAATAAAAATATGCCCTTACCAATGGCAATTGGGCGATAAAATCGTGGACGTTTGCCATTCGAGCAGCATCTATAATCTCTTCCATCGAAACCTCTCGTGAATTATCACCGTACGCAATATTCTCGGCAATTGTCTTATCAAATAGCACTGGCTCTTGTGATACAATGCTCAATTTCGATCTCAACCCTTCGATCGAAATGTCGCTGGAGATTTCATCTAAGCCGACATGAATGCGACCGTGTTCCGGATCATACAATCGCTGTAACAGCTGAATGCATGTCGACTTTCCACATCCAGACGGGCCAACCAGAGCGATTGTCTTTCCTTCCATCACATTCAAATTGAAATTATCAAGTATTTGCACATCGGGCCTGGTCGGATAGCGAAAGTCGATATTTTTAAAATCGATGTTATTGCTTTTATCCGGTTTACGGCTTTTATTATTTACGATCGGTGAATTGATCGTTGGGACACGATCGATTGTTTGGATAATACGGTGCACTCCAACGAATGCTGCCGTGAATACTGGAATGAAGACAAACATTTGGCCGATAATGACCGTAGCTAGAAGCAAAGCTTGCGCCACTCTATAATTGGAAGAGAGATTTCACAATTTAAACATGAAAAATATGGCAAACATACATTTGAAATAAACAATACACACTTGATAACATTTCCGTACTCAATCTCGCCGTTGGCTATCAAAAAACCACCGTAAGTAAGGGAGATTGTATACCCAAAGTAAGGGATCGATTGAGCGGTTGAATTTACCAAACCACGCCAAACAATACTCTTTCGAACCGTCGAAGATGCTTTTTTCATTTCAGCTACATATCGTTCAATCATATACTTTTCTTGCCCTAAAAATATGAAAATTTTGTTATATTGAAAATCCATTAATAGGTTCAAAAATGCAATTTCGATTCCTTACTTAAGCTGGCAACTGTTCGTATATTTGTGATGGCTTCGCTCGCTATTTTCGTTCCAACTTCAATTGACTGCTTTTCTTCAAACAATCTCTTGGACCGATGCCTGGTTAAATACAAGTTCATTTATTCATTTTCAGAGCAACCAAAAATGTTCATGAGAAATGATCGATATATTTACGATAAAGCCAGAATATTTACAGGCAATTTTTCAAATGCATTTTTCGAAAAAATCAAAAATCAAAAAAAGTTCAATTTTCAGAACAACAATTTCATATCAATTGAAAATGAATTGAAAAAAATATGTACGAAAAAGTCCAAGAGGACCGTCAGAAAATTGATGAAAGTAAGAGCGAAAAGATCGATGGACATAGCTTACTTAGCATCCAAGAAAACTGTTAACGCCGCCAATGGAAGGGCAATCAAGCAGACCAACGACAACTTCCACGAATAAATAAATGCAATAACTATACCTGCTACGAATGTGGAAAGTGACTGAAATACCATACTCAGTGGATTGCCAAAGATCTAAAAAAAAAAATATAATGACATTTCATGATCGAAAACAATACACCCTGACATTATTATTTACTTCATCAAATCGTTCATCGATTCAAATGATAATTATTCCAATAGTTACTTACTTCTTGTAAATTGGCCACATCACCAGTGAGTCGAGCTGAGAGTGCCGCCGATGAATGATTCTTCTCATCGAACCAACTACATTCTTGTCGCATGAATGCCGCGAACGTCATTGATCTATTTACAAAACATGTTTTTTTTTCACTTTGTAGAACATTTTATGTTATATAAGAGATGTTAAAATTACCGAACCCGTGTTGCCAAATCGAAACTAGCCTTCGAGAAGAAGAACGATTGCAAAAGTATTGCGAAAAATGCGACAATGCCCATCACCACGAACATAATACAATCGTCGATAGTATCGTCCAATACTTTGTTTGAATCTTTGTTTGACAACGACTGTGAAAATTGAAAAAAAAAGTGCAAGTGGTAAGGAAGAATGTTTTTAGGAAGTTTACGCAACAATATATTTAACTTACGCCATAAATGTCACCAAATATAATTGCAAATGTGGGTAATATGGCACCAACGAAGCATGCAAAAATCACTGCCAGAAGCACTGTAAACCATTGTGGTTTTATCAATGTGAAAATACGTTTAAACACTTTCCTATATTGGATCCTTTCATCCGATTCGTCCTTCACTTTTCGTTCATTCACATCAACCTTCACACTTCGAAAGTAGCTTTCTGCGACATTCTGGTCATTAAAAAATGGGGAAGCGTTGATAATGGGTGTGCTAATTGTGACTGGTGGGCCATTGTTTGGATGTGCGCTCATATAGATTGGATTTTCAATGAAATTATTGTATACGGGCTGGTGTACATCTTCGATTTCGTCTTCATTTTCGTCTTTAAGTCTTCCAGCGGTGATCATTTCGTAGTAACGTCCTTTCTGTACCATCAATTGACTGTGCGTTCCGTCTTCAACGACCACCCCTTTGTCAAGGAATACAATACGATCGGCATTTCGAATGGCGGACAACCGATGTGACACAGTGATTGTGGTGCGCCCTTGAGACACCTTGTCTAGTGTTTCTTGCACCAATTTCTCCGATTGATAGTCCAAAGCCGATGTGGCTTCATCCAGTAGTAAAATTTTCGGGTTTTGAATCATAGCACGCGCAATGGCAATCCTCTGTTTCTGCCCTCCTGAGAGTTGTGATCCTTTTTCACCCACCAATGTATTATAGCCCAGCGGTAAAGTAGCGATGAAAGCGTGTGCACCAGACATTTTAGCCGCAGCAACGATGTCTTTATCGCTTGCATCCGGTTTTCCATAGCGAATGTTCTCACCAATTGTTGTTGAGAATAGAATCGGCTCCTGTCCAACGGTTGCAATATTCGAACGCAGCTTATTGATGTTCAGTTTACGTATGTCGTAGCCATCGATCAGCACTTGGCCTTCGTTCGGGTCGTAGAATCTCTGCAACAGTTGCAGGCAAGTCGATTTCCCACTTCCCGAACCGCCAACCAACGCTAACGATTGACCCGGTTGAATCTCCAAATCCAATCCACGCAGGATCTATGTGCCAGAAACAAAACGAAAAAATTACCGATCAGTCTAATGTGCGAGCTGTAGAATTTTGAAGGATTCCCTTACCGGAACATCTGGTCGTGATGGATAACTGAAGAACACATTTTTGAACAAAATACTTCGTTTAACGCCCACTTTAAGCACGTTTCCATCATTTGACATGGAATCGATTTTCGATGTGCGATTGATCACATTGAATATTGCAGCAGCCGAACTACGGGCAGTAGCAAATGTATCTATGAACGGAGCGGTTTTTGCAATATTTTCAGCGCCCACCAATAAACCGAGGAATGTCTATAATTTGAGAAATGAACATTTTAATCCAGAAGAAATATGAAATCGGTATGTACGCATGCAATTTACATTCATTAAAATTTTTGGTGTGTATTCTTTGTCAGTTTTATCACGATCATCCAAAACCAATTTAACGCCATACCAAAAACCCAGTGCATTACTTCCAAAAAATAAGAATCGCATGACACCAACACAGAATCCGGCGAGCCATCCTTTAGCAACTAGCGCGGCTTTTCTCTCTTTTATCAATTGTTTTTTGTACCGTTCGATCTCCAATTGCTCACCACCGAATGCGAAAACAGTTCGAATGCCGCTCAGTACCTCTTCAGCCACATTTGCAGCCGCAGAGTAAGCATTCCCTTCCTTGGTCAATAATTTTACACGAAACTGAAATGCGGAAAACAAATCAATAGAATAAAATGTATAAGGTAAAAGCTAATTGTTTGATTGAAATAAATCAGATTCACCTTTCCAGTGACAATAATCGTGATGATAACTATCGGCACATATGATATCATAACCAGAGACAGTTCCCAGCCATAAGTGAATGACACAATAATGCTAATTACGGATGCAATCATCAAATACAGGTAATGACTAACCTTTTCCGCGATTCCCTCTTGAATTTTCTCGATATCTCTGAAATTGTATTGGTGACAATCAAATCAGTGACAATAGTTGTTGTACTACCTCTAATTTTATTCTTTGCTTGAATCGAACCGTTTTTTCAAACTATTCGATATAAGAAGTTATTCTCTGTGGTTCGTTTTTTTTTTCTCCATTGTTCGATTTTAAATATAATTAAGTAATATTTATTACTTACTCGGTGATACGTGCGGCAAAATTGTTGCTATCACCAGCGACGTCATAATAAGCAACCTCTTGTCGTATTAAAGACTGAAAATATTTTGTACGAATACGTGTGATTTGCCGAAATGCCGTGCGATTGAAACAATCAACACCTCCGATGCCACATATGAAGAATATAAGTATATCCAATCCCACAAAAATACCAAATGCAATTGAATCATTTTTCATTTCCGTGTTATTTTCTTCAACGCTGGCATTTGTCCTGTAATTTGGAAATAAATTGCCTGTCATATCAAAAATGTGATCGTTTTGTATGGAGTTTTTGGTGTGAAAATCTGACTCACACCAAAAATGAGCACAAATTTGATGTAGATTTTCTATGGTTAGAGATTAACTTTTCATTTTAGAACAACTGGCTATTTTTATCTCTGTTCGATTGAAGAAATTGAAAGAAAAGATGAAAAGAGAAAGGGTGATAAATAATTGTGTTTACAATACTCTTCCGCCACCAAACAATTGTAGGAATGTTGTTGATGAGCTCGTTCCAATTCCCATTGTTCGTTCGATCAGCAATGTTGTAAATTCACTATAGGCCAAGATCAATAGTGGCTGAGTAGCTGCTTTCAAGATGGTAAAAATGATACCGATAAGTATCAAGAAGACATCCCATTTTGTTGCAAATTGATACTGGAAACGTGGAAAAAATGTTTTGTAAATAAAACAACAAATAATTTCAACTATTAACTCACCAAACTAAAGTAGCTCATTGATAACCGGCAACACCCAATTCGTTTAAGTCAATTTTTTGTTCTCGAAAATGTAACTCTTTGGAATGTCTATGAATAAAAGAAAGAATTACACTAGTTGGACCGTTTGGAGACGCTAGCAATCTAGCTAACAATATTCGTTGAGAGTCCAAAAAAATCGATTAGAAAAACCCGCTCTCATATAAAGGTACCAAAAAATCGATTTTTCAAACATTCAACGAATATTGTTCTCTCTGAAATATCTCTTATGGGTAGCATGAAATAACCAAAAAATATTTACGAAAAAAGTCAAAATATTTATTTATTTATGCACGAAAAAACATCGAAATATTTACGATAAACTGAAAATAAACTGAAAATATTTACGATAAAAATAAGTGGAAAAAACCTTATATTTTGAATATTTCTTGACATTTTCGACAGTTAAGGATTATTCGAAGTTTTTACAGAAAATGATAACGTGTTCAGCTAAATTTTCGGAAAGGAATGAACGTCGATTGTCACGCAAAACTAGGGTTTACAAACGTTTCGACAAATACCGCAAACGGTGTTATAAAAACGTTATTTTTCTGTAGTGTTTTTTTTTTGACAGTCCAAAATACCGCAGAAATAACGATAAAAAACGAAAAAAACGTTTTTTGGGCGGTATATAACGGCTCTGTAAAAAAACGTTTTTAAGAAACACTGAAACAAATAACGCGTTTTTAAACCCTACGCAAAACATTCTTGTACTGTTCGACATCGGTTGACGTAATTGGAGCAAATTTGAACGCGTCTATTTCAGTCTCCAAATGAGAACGAAATTCAAAGTGCCAAATCGAAGTGCGCGAGAACGTTATTTACATATTATTTGATGACTTCACATTTGCAAATGCAAGCGATCATTCGATCAGCTGATAAATAAAATTTGTAAACGTCTACACAGTAATGTATACACTGAATACTGTCGAAATAACACATATTGCAGAATTGCAACTTTTGGTTTTGATCAACTATAAGTGAGACAATTCGATATAATTCCATTATCTTCGATTTGCAAAGTCATGTAGAGACGTGCAAAGTGCATTTGCAATGTTTTGTCTTGAAATATGACTCATGTTCTATTGCAAAATTTATGTTACCTACATCTAAAATATTTATCATTGCTTGAAAAATACTCAAAAATATTTCTGAAAAGGCTTATTTCTGTTAAAATATTTACGAAAAACTCGAAAATTGGGAAATATTCATTTATTTTCAAAAATGGCCAAAATATTTATTTAAATATTTTTTATTTAAATAAATATTTTCGGTTGCCCTATTCATAACCAATAAAATGTATTATTTATATATTTGCTCACCCAAAGCAAGTACAAGTAATTGTGAAGTACACAGCAAACCTGATCAAAAATTTTGCGTTTTTTATTCACTTTATTGCAAACAAAAATATGAAACACAATTTTATTGTTTTTTGGTCTTTTGGCTCAAGGAATATGTAGATGTTGAACAAATTTCAAACTATTTTACTTCATTTTCTTTACAAACACTTGAACAATTGCTTTCTTTTTGTTCACAAAGCTTCTTTCACCATTAAGAAAAAGTCAAAAAACAACTGGTGACTCCGCCAAACGGCTACAATATTTATAGTCGAAATCCGTTATGGGAATGTGTAATCTATGGTCCCACTCTCAAATTCTGTGAAAAAACAGTTAATTCATTTCGTTATTATTGGATTACTTGCATAATTATAATGTATAAGTCAAACTCAGCCGACGAGTTAATCATTGTTACGTTGAAAAATATGGACGTAGAAAAAATAGCTCAAAAAGCTGTAATGTAATAAAAATAGTATCTGACTTTACATTTACTTCTTTGATTATTTCTTTAATCACGTGTTTTAACCATTTAACGTTCACGCTGTTAGCCGAAATGATATTTTATGAAACATTAACATACAAATGATTCACTAAATTATGAAATCTCTTTTACATTGAATTGTAATTGGTAATATTGATATCTCCGGCGTCGTGCAAATTACGTGACCTTCGATACATTTGCCTAAGGCAATATTTCGAGGGAGGAGAAAATTGTTGTCAACATCAACAGTCAAAGAATAACTTAGGAATCAATTTTATTTAATAACTTTGTTTATGATCATGCAACGACTCAACAGTAAATTTTTGAATTTATCATTCGTTCGGCATTATACTGAAAAAGTGTGATGGATAAAATTGATTTTCAAGTCATTCTTAGATTGATGTTATTGTTTGCAAACATTCATGAGTTGAAACATACTCGAAACTTGGTAAAATAAAATCATGAGCATTGAGCAATGTATATATGTGTATGAAAATCGTGAAGTTTATCAAGAAAACAAGAACGTTCATATTTCACTTGCATATTTATATTGCTGTTTTCGTGGAATTTTTCCTTCCGCATTCCCAGTAGAATTAAAAAAAAAAACATGATTAAAATGAAAATATGAATATTATTATTAATAATATTCATGCTTTATTCAGATATGCCCAGTTTTGAACATTTTTGATAAACTTTGGCTAAAGTTTTTGCTACGTCAATATTTTTCAATATAAAAATGACTAACTCGTTGACTGAGCCCGATGTATACATCATAACTATAATAATAAATGATTGAATTAGCTGTTATTGCACAGGAATTGAGAATGTGACCAAAGATTACACATTCACAAAACGGATTTCAACTATAAATATCGTAGCCGTTTTGCGGAGTCAACAGTTGTTTTTTGACTCTACGGAAGAAAAGTTGCATTTTTTTTATCGGTTCTGATACAGTATTCGGTGAGCCCAAAGCGATATTGCAACGACGATGACTTCATTGAAGACACGATTTGTTTATTCAGATGTTGAGCTCTGGCAGATCTACGATCGGAACATACAGCCCGTTATAACAACAATTGATGTCACCACTCATTCCATGCCGTTTGAAGAGGCTAATCAATGCCATATTATCGAAGGTAGCCAGCTTCCAATCATCACACCCGAACAAGCTGAACATTTTGACAAGGCACATACTACGGCCTTGCCATCAGAGCCTTACTGGTCTCAGCGTCTTACTAATTATGAACCGTGTCAACTATCCGTCGTGCAAAATACAGTCGATCAATCACCGGCATGGGCCGCATCGCCTTATCAAACTTCAGAAGATTTCAGTGCGACTGAGTCTGTCATCGATTTGAATGATATATTTTTGGATGTTCTGGCCAGCGTAGAAGAACATTATAGACAATTGGTCAATAGGGTGCTGCTCAATATACGCTATTTTGGAAATTTGATAGCAGCATCAGCTTGAATTATGAGAATCGATGAAAAAAAGACGTACAAACCATTCACACCAATCGGAGAAATTATACAGCGGCGTGAAGGATTGCCGAAAATCAACAGAATCTTCAAAATTAGATTCATTTCCACAGAAATTATCTTATGTTTCGGCTTGACTTCGCTTCATTTTCAATTCTTAAAATTGTTCATTCATTTTTACATCAATATGCGTTGATCATTTCAGTTTAAGTGTCATCGATTATTATTATTATTATTTATTTATTTATTTATTTATTTAGTTTCTTCATGATTATGTCTAGATGTACAATGATTGAGATCTACTAAATTATGACCACATTACTCAGAGAACAATATAAAAATTATTTTTCGTTTCATTTCATTTTTTGTGCAAGAATGTTACATGTCTAAATTAGTTACCAGTTCATACAGATTCGAAATTGCGTGCTTTACTGGGAGAAAAAATTTGCAAAATTGACGAATTTAAAGACGAAATCATTGAAAAGTAATTAACAAATCGGAAATAAATTCTCAAATTCACGATGTAATGCTGATTAAATATATAATTTGTAGAATTATAATTTAAAATAACCACATGTTTTCAGCACTACATCGTGAATTTAAGATTTTTTTCTTGATTTGGTAATCACTTTGGACTGCTTTGGACATACATATCCAAAGTATCAAAGTGAAATTGCTGTGAAAACATCTAAATTATTGAATATTTCAACATTTTCGAATTAAATAAGAAAATGGTTCATTCCTTCAAAGCTACTAACATTTTAATAGATTGTATACTTTCCATTTTGAACACACAAAATAAAAACAAAAACTTAACCAACTAAAAATTCGTTTTCATTCATGTTTTTCAAAGAAAAAGAACGTTACTTGGACTTACTTATAAATTCAGATGTGCTATGAATTGGAAGATCAAAATTTGTGTAATAACCATGTGTTTTGAGTCGAAAAAATGTGTCTTAACACAGGCAAAAACAAATATGCTTATTACATCAAACTTTTCGGAAGAAAAGTCTTTGTTTTCATTTGAAAAATGAAAAGAAATCTCCACAATGAAAAGTTGGCAAAAGAAAAAGGTGCTCAAGCGATAAGCGATCACCAAACATGTGCGGCCTGATTGAGCTGAGTCGAGAGCTTGTTGTACCACCTATGGAAAAGTTATTGATAAGTTAAAATTGTGTCCAAACCATTGAATGCTTTTCCATGTACCTGTTCACTGTGCAAATCTAAAGCGGATGTGGCTTCATCCAACAAAAGAATCTTTGGATTTCTAATCAAGGCACGAACTATGGCTATTCTTTGTGTCTGGCCTCCAAAAAATTATGATGTTGAATCGTCGTTTGTTTTGCAACCCTTTGAGACAAAAAAGCATGACGATTGTATAGTGTGGTATAATGTATAAATTGCGAATGCCGAAATCCGTTTTAGGAATGTGTAATCTTCGGTCCCACAATTTCTGTGAAATAACAGCTAATGCATTTCATTATTATTGGATTACTTGTATACTTATAATGTATATGTCAAACTCAGCCGACGAGTTAATCATTGTTATGTTGAAAAAAATTGACGTAGAAAAAATGGCTAAAAAAGTTGTAATGCAATAAAAATAGTATCTGACTTTATATTTATTCCTTTGATCACATTTCATTTGCATACTTATATTGGTGTTTGCGCAGAATAAGAGCAGCCGTATTGCTACTAGAATAAAAAACAACACGATTAAAATGAAGTTATGAATAATGCTTTATTCAGATATGCCCAGTTTTGGACATTTTTGATAAACTTTGGTTAAATTACATAGTTCAATGTTGACTAGAAAAAATATTAACTCAGAATACTATTGTTATTGAAATGCTTTTTGGGTTATTTTTTCTTCTTGAATAATTTTCAAAATAACAATGACTAACTCGTTGACTAAGTTTGATTTATACATTATAAGTGTAATAATAAATGAATTAGCTGTTATTGCACAGAAATTGAGAGTGAGACCAAAGATTACACATTTTCAAAACGGATTTCAACTGTAAATATCGTAGCCGTTTTGCACAGGCTCTGCATAACACTAACGAAACAAAGTAAAACACGAATTTGCGATGAGCGCATTCAGTGAAGTTAATTTCAATTCGTTTACGTCGTTAGACGCAAATTCGAATTTTTTTCTCCCATTATTACTATTTTGATTGAGTTGTTTTTTTTTTTTTTAAATACAGTTCTTCAGCGTTTTCTTTATCGAAAAATGAACCATTAACATTAATAATAATGAAAACAAATTATTTTCAATTTATTTCATTTTGTAGTTGGGCGCATTCAGTGGTAGAATAATCGTGGATAAAAATGGAATCCGTGCTTGTTTCTTCCTACAATGATTTAAATCAAAGTGAGGAGATCAGCGGTCAACCTAAGTTTCGTTTTGATGCTCTCGCACTTGCTGACGCTGCGTATCAAGCTTCAGACGATTGCGAAGAAGACGAGAAATTTTGGCAGACTTATGCTCAGCGATTGGAACGCTTAGCTTATATTCGAAATGAACTGGTACAGCCAATTTTGAGCCTGGTCAAAGGAAAATTTATCGCAATATTCCCATAGTTTTATCGAAATTGATAAGCATTTTAGTATAAACCACATTTTTATGGCAATCGCATAGCATTACTTTGCAACTGAATAGAATTCAAGCATATTGTCGCATTTATATAAAAATATTATCGCATTAAATAGCAATCAATTGGCATTTTTCATTGATCTTACAAAGCAAAGGAAAACCACTCGTGATCTCGCATAGATTATAGACTAATTTATCAAATCTTTGTTCATCAATCGAAACACTTTCGCAATTTTGAAAACTTTTTTTGGCAGCAAGAAAACGAATAAGCAGTTTTATAATTGAGTTGTATCGCATTATAGCATCGAATCGCATCGCGGCATAAAACATTGATTGTAAGCATTCATCACGCAAATAAAATACGCATATTTTTGTTTTGAAACTTTACTGCATGATTGTTTGAATTGATTATTTTCTCTCTCTCTCTCTCTCTCTCTTCTGAACTTGAAATAAATTCAATTTAGCCGCTTCATTCTTATTTTTATAGGATTTTGAAACTCTCACAATACAGATTGTAAGATATTATTATAAATAACTTTTCGCGTTGGAATTATTGCAACACAACACAATTAAAATGAAGTTAGGAATAATGCTTTATTCAGATATGCCCAGTTTTGGACATTTTTGATAAACTTTGGTTAAAGTACATAGTTCAATGTTGACTAGAAAAAATATTAACCCAGAATACTATTGTTATTGAAATGCTTTTGGTTTATTTTTTCTTCTTGAATGTATACATCAAACTTAGTCAACGAGTTAGTCATTGTTATTTTGAAAAAGTTTGATGTATACATTATAAGTGTAATAATAAATGAATTAGCTGTTATTGCACAGAAATTGAGAGTGGGACCAAAGTTTAATCAATAATTTAAATTATCTTCAAATTGATTTGCATTCTTGAGAAAACAGCAATTTAACCCTTGTCCGCTGCTCCAACAAAATCGGGTATCTGTCGTTACAGTGTAAATTTTACACTCTATATAAAAGAGCCAATAAAAATGATAAATAATGATAAAATATTGGGTTTTTCTATATAAAATGGTTGAACGTTCATTATTTCTTCCCAAGAATGAAGAAATAGTTTATTTTTGATGTCGTTTTTAACATTTTTCAGTGGGGTTTGAAGGCCATATCTTAGGAAACACTGAAAAATCGATAAATTCTGGCATTATACGCTATAATATGACTATAAAAAACACTATCGGAAAAAATTATGATAATTCCTGACTATTATGAGTAAATTTTTGTGCGTTTGTCCCATATTTTCTTTACTTGGGAGCAATGAATATGTATCTAGAAGCCATCTTCTTCAGAAACATGCAGTCAAACTATACAATTACAACAACAATAACACGTATTTTTTGAAAAATTTATATACGATTTGCCCGTTGAGCCAAAATCTCTGGATAATATAACCATGAAAAATCACTCAAAAATGTAGTTGTACTTAAAAATAGTGTAAAATTTACACTTCCAGCGGACGCGGGTTAATTGCACTATTGAATGAAAACGAAAATTTGAGCTGAGGCGGAAGCTTGTTGTATCAACTATGGAAAAATTGTACCAACCATGAAAATTTTATCCAAACCATTGAATGCTGTTTACGGCTGGACCAGTGATAGAGCAAGTGAAATAAAACACGACTGGTTTGGGTAATGTGTAGACTGTAACTAAATGTTTATTCCGCGCGCACACCTATCGCTAGGTGCGACACGCAGCACCTGAAGTTGTACACAATATTCTATACATTGAACCGACATTTGTTTCGCAACCCTTTGATGACGATTGTAAAGTGCATAAATTGCGAATGCCGAAATCCGTTATGGAAATGTGTAATCTTTCGACCCACTCTCAATTTCTGTGAAATAACAGCTAATGCATTTCATTATTATTGAATTACTTGCATACTTATAATGCATACGTCACACTTATTCCACGAGTTGATCATTGTTATGTTGAAAAATATTGACGTAGAAAAAATGGGTAAAAAAGTTGTAATGCAATAAAAATAGTATCTGACTTTATATTTATTCCTTTGATCACATTTCATTTGCATACTTATATTGGTGTTTTCGCAGAATTAGAGCAGCCGTATTGCTACTAGAATAAAAAACAACACGATTAAAATGAAAATATGAATAATGCTTTATTCAGATATGCCCAGTTTTGGACATTTTTGATAAACTTTGGCTAAAGTTTTTCTACGTAAATGTTTTTCAACATAACAATGGAATAAGTTTAACTCGAGGAATAAGTTTGACGTATATATTATAAGTATGCAAGTAATCCAATAATAATGAAATGAATGAGCTGTTATTTCACAGAAATTAAGAGTGGGGCGAAAGATTACACATTCCCATAACGGATTTCGATTATAAATATCGTAGCCGTTTTGAGGAATCGACAGTTGTTTTTTTGACTCTTTCTCAAGAGTGCAAGAAGATTTGTGAACAAAAAGAAAGTGATTATTCAAGTGTTTGTAAAGAAAATTAAGTAAAATTATTTGAAATTTTAAATTCGTTCAACATCGTTGATTTCTTCTGTTGAAAGAAAGGCGATTAAAAAACATATTAAAGAAAAAAAAGAAAAAAAAAAAGGAGAAAAAAAGTAAGCGAATATCTATTCCAAGAATTTTGATCGAAAAATAATAATAAAATTCGGATAGATTTTCTTGTATTAAATTCGTTGGACTTTCTACCGTTTTTCCGTTGTATCTACATCTCCTGTGATTTTATATGAATTGCTCAAAATTGTTCATATATATAGTCTAAATTTTCTTTTACAAGTGGATTTACTGGAATAAAGTGAGAATCATGCTTGCGTATGGAGAAAAAATATTGTTTTTCTTTTAAAAAAAAAATAGCAAAATCCTATGGCAATATTGGCTACAAAAGGAAAACTATTTTCTCCCATTCACCATATTCAATATCGTAATTTAATTTAAATAAATCCACTTGATAGTTTAGACTTTATACGAACAATTTTGAGCCTGTAGTGTATATACACGCAATTTCGAGCTCTTTTCCCCCTATAATAATAATAATAATAATAGTAATAATAATAATAATATGATATTTATTTAGATTTCTCCATAAAACAACGTTACAGTTTTTACATTGGTTTCATTAATAATTTTCTAATCAGGGATCGAAAACGGTTTGACGTTTCTCATACAAACCGATTTCGGAACGGTTTCACTGCTTTGCTCTCTGTTCATCGGAGCGAACCGTATCAAGCGGAACGTTCTGAGAATGGTTTGTATGGGCAACGTTCAAGCGGGTTGTCACTGTGTTAGTGTCGTTTACTAATACACGTAAGCATAAACGTTTCTGTGTGCCATACAAACCATTTTTCAGAACGTTCCGAATGGTTTGGTTTGTTCACACACTCAAACCAAATATTCGGTTTGGTTTGGTTTCGATCCCTGTTTCTAATACATAATTTTTTAATTTATTCTCAAAATTTTTTATCGATTCAACTTGTCTAACTTCATTTGAAATGGCATTAAAAAGTTGAATTCCCCTGTAGAACAAGGCATTTTGGCTACATGCTTTAGTAGCATTAGTGACTGATATTGTGTTTGCTTTTCTCAAATTTCCATTGTGGATTTGCTGTCTGTATTCTATTCTATCAGTTAGGTATTTTGGAGCTAGGCCATTCACAATTTTATAAATAAATAATAATGTTCTAAAGATTATTTGTTGCTTAACATTCATAAATTTCAACGAATCAAATAGATAATTAACATTAGTATTCACGATTTACACCCAAAATTTCATTTCTCATACATTGCAAGATTTGAAGCCTATCAATATTAGACGCACTGGACAGAAATAGGATGGACGCACAATAAATGAAGTGTGGTTGAATGAGTGACTTATATAAATATTCTTTTTGGTTTTTGTTCAATTCATTTCTTAATCTACTCAAAACGCCGACTTTTTTGCCAACTTTTTTACATACATATTCTATATTTTTGTCAAATTTAAGTTGGTCATCAATAATAACTCTCAAGTATTTAATTTCGCGCTCTATATCAAGTCAAATGTCATTTATAACTATATTAATGCTACTTCGGTCAATCGTCTTATTAGTGATTATTATGGCTTTGGTTTGGCTAATGTTCAATTTCAGTTTAATTTGGCACAGCTTATCAAATAATCTATCCAAATCTTCATTAAGTTTTTGAATTGCTTCATCAATGTTATTAGAACAAATATACACAAATGTATCATCGGCAAACATTTTTATAGCGCAGTGTTTAATACAGGAAGTTATGCAATTTATATATACAAAATAAATAGTAACGGGCCCAAAATGGATCCCTGTGGTACATCTAAGCTATTTTCAAGTGGTTCTGATGTTACGTCGCCAATTTTTAAATTTCGCTTCTGTTTGTTAAGTAGCTCTTGAACCATTGAAGTGATAAAGGTTGGACTCCGTATTGCCTCAATGTTTCAATAAGGAGATTTGGATCGATGACCTCAAATGCACGTTGAAGATCCAACGGAACTACGATGATAAATTGCGATTTATTTTGTGCCTCTTTCAAGTCATATAGCACATCGTTGAATCCCCCTATTATTACTAATTTTAATGAGTTTCTTTTTTTTTTCAAATGCAGTTCTTCAGTGTTTTCTTTATCGAGAAATGAATCAATAACATTAATAATAATAACATTTTATTTTCAATTCATTTTGTAGTTGGACGCATTTGGTGGTAGAATATTTGGAAACAAAGCGAAAAAAGTATCATCGCAATTATGACGGTCGGCCTGGATAGTGAGATCACTAGTCGCTGCATAGCGACACGTGCCCAACGAGAAATTTTTCTCATTGAACAAACGCGTCCAGATGCCAATTGCAACGTGTACACTTATAGAGTCATCACTGGTGCATTCGATCTAGAAATCTTGGTCAAAGCGATCGAACATATTATAACGACGATGACTTTATTGAAGACACGATTTATTTATTCAGATGGTGAGCTCTGGCAGATCTACGATCGGAAGATACAGCCCGTTATAACAACGATTGATGTCACCACTCATTCCACGCCATTTGAAGAGGCGTTGAGACTATTGGTAAAAGATTCAAAAAAGCCTTGCGGCATGACCACCGGTAAACTCTACGAGTTTACGATCTATATCGTTGACAGTGACAAATATGTACTTTATTCGCGGTGTCATCATGGCCTCATAGACGGTAGTTCGTGGATAAAAATGGAATCCGTGCTTGTTGCTGCCTACAATGATTTAAAGCAAAGTGGGAAGATCATTAGTCAATCTAAGTCGCGTTTTGATGCTCTTGCAATCGCTGACGCTGCTTATCAAGCTTCAGACGATCGCAAAGAAGACGAGAAATTTTGGCAGGCTTATGTCCAGCAATTGGAACGCTTTGCTCACACACAACGAAGTGTTAATTCTGTTGGAACAAAGTCAACATATCGTCAAACATTGACATTGAGCACCACTGAATACCAAATATTGCAACAGGCTGCGGCAGCAATGAATATTCCGGAATCCCTTCTTTACATTGGCATTTCAGCATTTTTTCTCCGTAACCTTCTCGGTCATGATTACCTGAGTCTCAGTCTACCAGTGCGTGGAACGGATTTAACTCGAGAAATTGGCATGACAGCCAACATCTTACCATTGCTGTTGCATATCCCTGGGCATGCTACCATACCCGAAATCATACGTCAAATTGCTCAAGAAGCTAAATCAATCTTGAAACATCAACGCTACCGAGTCGACGATATTCTAAAGCTCGCCAAATTTAGGTTAAATGGTAGTTTTGGTCCTTTCGTGAATATACAACGATGTGGACCGGGATTTGAAGGTTGTAGCAGTACAAATCATTTCGGTGGGAGCGTAGATATTGATGATTTGAACATGACATTCTGGTCAGATCGTTCAAATGATCGACTTGACATTGTGTTTGATGATCTTCATGATGGTCATTCAGAAGAACAACTCACTGCCTTGAAAAACCACTTGATGTTCATTTTAAAAAAGATGGTAGATGCGGTGGACAGCACAGTTGACACACTTGATGAACGTTGTCGCGCCGTTATAACTGGTGATCTATGCGAGAGTTTTTATGTTAATCGGCGAAATCCAATCGCAGCTGGCTTTTTACAGTGGAGTCGAGACTGTGACTTCTTGATTCGTCTCGTGCATTCCAACACGTGGGTAGGATGTGGTGCCAATCCATTTGCAATCTCAAAAGTTCTTCTTGTCGATCGCTCTGTGGGCATCGGCAAGCTGGAACGCGTAGCGGATTCGGTATGCGCAAAAACACCGGGCACAGTGGTGGCAATTTATGAAACTGCTTGGTACGTGGCTGCTGCAGACGGAGTGGTAGAAATAAGCAATTTTTTGGATGGATTCGGCCAACAAATCTCAGCTCAAACTCTCGCTAATCAATGTCATATTATCGAAGGTAGCCAGCTTCCAGTCATCACACCCGAACAAGCTGAACATTTTGGCAAGGCACATGCTACGACCTTGTCATCAGAGCCTTACTGGTCGCAGCGTCTTACTAACTATGAACCATGTCAACTATCTGTCGTGCAAAATACAGTCAATCAATCACCGGCATGGGCCGCATCGTCGTATCAAATCTCAAAAGATTTCAGTGCGATTGAGGTACTTACTGCATGGATCATTTACATTGCTCGAGATACTAAAATGTCAAAATTACAAATTGGCTGGGATGCAACTGAGAGTTTGCATGAAAACAGCGCATTAGCATGCATATATGCCAAGACTGTTCCATTTGAGTCTGTCATCGATTTGAATGGTACATTTTCAGATGTTGTGGCCAGCGTAGAAGAACAATATAGACAATTGGTCAATCACTTACCATGCTTGTCAGACACACTCATTCGCCATGCTTCGAACTCTATAAAGGATTCGCGCGGCAAAAAACCCTGGGCATTGGCAGTGTCTCTAAACGATACGCAAGTTGAATATGAGTATTCCACGACTACTGGCAGTGAACTTGCTCCGTATGCCCATGGCAGCCTGATGACAATGCAGATCAACAAACACAGCGGTGCATTTAGATGGATCTACGACACCAGCCGAATATCTGAAAAAGAAATGAATCGTGTCTCCTCACATTTGTTAGTTTTGCTTGCATCTGCTCACAGTGACGATAAAGTAAAACAACCAGTGGCTAAATTGGATCTATTGCCCAAGGATGAGCGTGATCTACTACTTTTTACTTGGAACCAGGAAACAAAGACCTACCCACCTGCCTGTTGTCTTCACCAATTATTTGAGAAGCAGGTAGAACGCGACGGAGAAGCGATTGCCGTGGAGTGCAAAGGAAAGACTCTAAGCTATTCAGAGCTCAATGCCCAAGCCAATCGATTAGCACATTACTTGATTGCACGAGGCGTAAAACCAGACGATCGTATTGCACTTTGCGTTGAACGCAGCACAACAATGCTCGTTGCTATCCTAGGTATTCTAAAGGCTGGCGGTGCCTATGTACCACTCGATCCGGTCTACTCGAGCCAACGTTTGACCGATATTCTACAAGATGCCAATCCGATATTCCTATTGGCAGATGCTGTTGGCCAAAAAGCACTCGGTGAACATCAAGTACCAGTGGTTGACTTAGACAAATCATTGCCTGACGACTTACAAATCGATAATCCAGACATGATTAAGCTTGGACTCAATCCAACTCATCTGGCCTATATCATTTACACTTCTGGTTCAACAGGTACACCGAAAGGAGTAATGGTTGAACATAAGCAAGTCGTACGACTCTTTGAGGCTACACGCGAACACTTTGATTTTAATAAAGAAGACAAGTGGTGTTTATTCCATTCATTCTCTTTTGATGTTTCGGTGTGGGAGATGTGGGGCGCATTATCGAATGGAAGCCAACTGTCGATTGTATACGTTCATTCATCGGATGAATTTCACGATTGGATATGTGCTCGTGAAATCACTGTACTGAGTCAAACCCCATCGGCATTCAAATCACTCATGCTTGCAAAAAATACATTACCAAACTTCAATCGATTACGATATCTCATATTCGCTGGGGAAGCATTTGATCCATTGATTGCAAAGGAATGGTGGGAAAAATATGAGAAAAATGGGACAGTATTGGTCAATATGTATGGACCCACAGAAACAATTCATGCTACCTATCAACGAATCGACTCTTTAGAAAATGCCTACTCCATTGGACGACCACTCGCAGATCTTCGTGCATATTTGCTAGATTCATATGGCGAGCCAGTGCCGTTGGGAGCCGAAGGAGAATTGTATATTGGTGGTGCTGGTGTAGCGCGTGGCTATCTAAACCGTCCTGAACTAACTGCTGAACGTTTTCTAACCGATCCATTCAGTGACAATCCAGCTGCACGCATGTATCGTACCGGTGATCGAGTACGTTATTTGCCTGATGGCAATTTGGTATATATGGGACGCATGGATCAGCAAGTGAAAATCCGTGGTTTCCGAATTGAGCTCGGCGAAATCGAAGCCCACCTAGTCGAACATCCCCAGGTGCACGAAGCAGTCGTACAAGTACAATCATATGGCAGTGGATCAGAGGCTCGTCTGGTTGCTTATGTGGTGGCCGATGGAGATATATCATTGGTACAAAATTTGCGCACCCATTTGTCAAAATTACTGCCCGACTATATGATACCAGCGGCTTATATGCGTCTCCCGTCTTTACCACTTACACCCAATGGCAAGCTAGACCGTCGAGCACTACCAGCTCCTGACGATGATGCATTCGTTCGTCAGCAGTATGAAGCTCCACAGAGTGAAATGGAAGAAAAACTGGCCAATATCTGGCGTGAAGTACTTGGCATTGAACGTATTAGTCGACATGATAATTTCTTCGAGTTGGGTGGCCATTCTCTTCATGTGATACATTTTATCAACAAAGCCAAATACTATGATGTGCACATTGATGCCCGTGTTGTTTTTTCTTTTCCAATACTCAAAGATTTGGCCGAACAAATAAGCAAACGTTTCAATCGATTGTATTGTGACACTGCCATTCCAGTTCGTCAATACGGAAATGAGGCAATTCTATTTGTGTTGCCAGATTGCCGAGGTGATATTTCTTATGCTTTCGAATTGGCCCATGATATCGATAAAAATATTCCCGTTTATGTGCTACCATGGTCATCGCCAGAGAGTGAACAGCCGTCATCCATCGAAGAAATGGCCAGTACAACGATCGAACATATGCAGAAAATTCAAGCGAATGGTCCTTATTCTATTGCTGGATACTCCGCTGGTGGTATTCTCGCCTATGAAACGGCTAAACAGCTTATAAACAGAGGCCAAGAGATTTCATTTTTAGGCTTAATCGATACGTATCTATTTCATCCAGAAGGACTTGGTGGAACGCTGATGTTTTTAACATATTTACTGCATAAATACCCAAGTTTTACAACGTTAAACGATTCAAAATGGTGGGCCCGTGTCATCGAATTACCTTTGAATGAAGCAGTTGACGCGATAAAAGAGACGGGTTTCGAAAACATCGATATCGATTGGGAAGTGTTGCTTTCGAAACAACGTTACAATTATAAGGATTTATGTGCATCGATGAAAGTGGATGCACTACCGATCAAGACATATTTATTCAGAGCAATCAATTTATTTGCATTCCCTGCTGCTCTTGAACCATTGGCTGATGCTTTGAAGCGATATGTGGATATGTTTGAGCAATTATTCAACTTACCGAACCTGGGATGGGAAAATTCAAATTCTTCTGCAGATTTTCATGTTATCGATGTAGATGGTGATCATTTTACATTGATGACGGATCCGAAATCGCGAGCTTCACTGGGAAAAAAAATTAGCAAAATTTTTACAGCCAAGGATGACGAAATCATTGAAAAATGATTAACTGATCATTAGTCAATTCTTAATTAATGATGTAGTGTTGAGAATATATGTATGTTTTAAATTATGTCCAAAATATCAAAGTAAAATCTCACTCAGTGAAAACATCTAAATTATGAAATATTTCAGAATTTTTGAATGAAATAAAACAAATCCGTGCAATTTTTGAATAGACATTATATTTAGAATCGAATATGTATTCAACGACAAGCATAATCTAAATGAGTAATAAAATGCCAACCAAAATAAGGATTAAAACCAATTTTTGGTAGAAAAATAAAATCATCCACAAAAGAGATTTATCTTTAGTTTTGAAATGAAAATTTTTCTTTTCGCACACCAAATTCCCACAAAATTGACACTCAATGGAATATGAAATCACCAGTGGTGATTTACTGCTGAGTGTTGTGGAATGCGTTGGCCACATAGCGCGCATGCAATTGTGGATTTAGTATCATTTGCCGATGCATTTCACACCACTTGGTGATGATTTCGCATTCCACCACTAGAGTGTCAACTATGACATTTCGTGTTAAGCGAAAAATCTTTTCCACGGAACGTGTTTGCTGTGGTTTTGAGCATCTTCTTGAGGCAATAAGATTTGACCTGTTTAAAATTCCATCTAAATTGGACAAAAAAAGTATTTGAAACTAATTTAGTTTTCTTAGAATTAATTTCTTGGTCATCAGTCAAAAAAGTAAGTCATTTTCTACAGCATTTTTGTTTTAGCTTATAAGTGCAGGCACATATAATACTTAATATCATCGGTCTGAATCCACACCATAAACAGTGGCTTAAAAATAATCTTTCTTTTTCGTCTGCTACGTACTTATTTTTTGGCCACGGATTAACGGCTACATCAAATTTTTATGGCATTTTCCGAAGAAAAATGTTTGCATTTCAAAATAGCCAACAAAAAAAAAATTGAAAAGATTCGGACATAAAATCACCGACACCCAATAGAAGGTATTCAGTTTTGTTCGAATCGTGAACCGAGCACATTCACCCGTTGACATTGAATTTTTTGGCAAAATTAGTTGAAAATACAAGCAAAAAGACGTTTATTTTGAGTTTGAATCGAAACTTTTGTATATGATTTCATCATTTTTAAAGATTCAGTCGAAAAATCTGAAAAAAAAATTGGAAAAAATTTTGCAAAAAAATTGCGTTCAATTTTAGAAGAGAAATATTTTAAAGAGTTGAAAAGAAATTTGCAAATACAAATGAGTCGTCGTAATAATAATCAACGATTTGTTTCTCCAGCTCAAGCTTTTCCAGCGAAAGGAGCGAATCCCAAAATGATTGACGATTTGGAGTTTCAGATCAAACTGGAGGATATGGAAATGGATCCAAATCTTGAATGTCAATCATTTTTCAGCGGCAGTGAAGTGAATCTCAATGAGCTCACTAATTTCCATCAACCATTGATCGGCATGAACAGGCGAAAATCAGTTGTTCCAAACCAAACCAACGTCGCTTCAGTACAAACTAACACATCAGTCGCTCAAATTGATCAAGAAAACCAAAAAGGCTGGCTCGATGAACTGTTTGAGTACTCATCGAATATTGCACGGCAGACACAAACCACGTTGGGTCGCATCAAAAACGATTTCATGAAAAGTGGCCTGAAATTTGATGCCAACTTTCGGAATCATTTTCTTTACCTTTCAAACAATCGGTAAGCGTTTTTTTTTCGACAATTTTTTGTTTCATTTTTCGAATTTGTTCTTCTTTGATTTTAAAACTCGTGTATTTCTTTCTATATTTTCAGAATTAGCGAGTCATTTGACGCATTCCTCATCGGGCTGCCAAGAGAAATGAAGGCAAGCGACTGTTCGATTAGCAAGCCACAAGTGATTCCAAAGCCAGTCGCTGCAAATCGAATTGATCAGAACAAATCCATTGAGCCACCGGCAAAACGTAAGCGTGTTGATGTTGTCGTTGAATCTTCGAAAAATCGCGTTGCCAATGAACGTACCACTCAAATCGCTTTGCGTACAAGTTGTAAAACGGCTAAAGTCACTTCGCAGACAAACAAAACGACTCAAGTCACTACTGAATCGAACAAAACCGCTCAAATTACTTCGCTGTCAAGTCGATCGGGACGTTTTGCAAATGCATCAAAGATTGGACCCGAAATTAGCGTGAAGAAGGTGGTTTCAAAGATGACAGAGACGTCAAACTCAACTTCATTGACGATGAAAAATGGTGAAAAGGTCATAATTCGTCGTGTCGAAGAAGTGCCAAAAGTAAATGCATCGAATGATAAGACTGTTGCTCGCCGAACGGAGCAACTGCCGAGAGTGAATCAATCGACTGACAAGATTGTTTCACGCCGCATTGAAGACATGCTGAAGGTACCCATACCGAAAAATAGAAGCAGTTTGGATAATACGATTGACAGCCTAAGGAGTCGTATAATTTTGACCGAGAACAGAATGGAACCTACAAAAGGTCTGCAGCGCCGAAAATCGATGGGGCCAATGGTATCGATTCCAACATTACGCATCGGTAATCCAAAATCGGTTGAAGCAAATAATAAGGAACTGCAACGAGGTAAGCCACAAGAGCTCCATGGAAGCAATCCAACGGAACAGGTTGCGCCGAAACGGGTTTATGTGCGAAGAAAAACGTTTGTCGATAAAGATTTGCTGTCGAATAAATCGCAGAACGAGATTGCAGTCATCAGTCGGGTTAAAGCACCAGAGCCATCGCCACAACCACAGTGGAACGTAACGCTGCCGGTTGCCGACGGTATTGTCACTCGAAGCCGTCGCAGTGCAGGCGATTTGACTCGAGCAACTAATACATTTACATGCGAGGTATGCAACTTTTCATTGATTCCATCACTTTGTCAGTATTTCTCATTAATTTTAATTTCTTTCTTTTGTGATTTTCTTTCTCCTATAGGTATGCAACTACAGCACCGAAGTTAGGACGAACTATCAACGTCACATGCTTATTCACACCGGTGAAAAGCCATTCAAATGCAAGCATTGCCCCAAAGGATTCACGCAAAAGATCAATCTGAAATCACACCTCAAAAGCAATCACCATGGCCTACACGGCAGTCCAGATTATTGGAATTAATTTGATTTCATTTTTGATATCTTTTTTTTCTTACATTTCATTTATCATTCCGATGATGGTCGATTCATCGATTTATTTTTTGTCACTCAAAATTTTTTGTCACTCACATTGGCAAACAGGATTTAGTTCAAAGAAGAATTTATGTTAAAGAAAGACTTATTTTGAAAGAAATAGAATTTATTCCAGTTAAGAGATTTTTCTACGATATTGCGCTTATTTTTGAATAGGAAAAGTTATTGCTACAATTTAAGGAAGAGAAATCATCTAGGAATATCAATTTGTACACATTTATTCATTCATTAAACATTTGATTTATAGAAGCATATTGAAATTCAAGGTCATTTTTCGTATTTTATACAATCTCTTGATCTCTGAGGAAAATGAGTCTATTAATGATATTTGTCAGTGGCTATAATTTCACAATTCTAAAAAGAAAAATGCATTTTTTACTTTGAAAAATTGTGTAATGTTCAATCTTTAAAAAATGTTTATATAAGCTACAGATTGGACAAATACAAATTCAGACAATATAAAAGCCATCACTGATGTTTACATTTTTAAATAGCATACACAATTCCTGAATGTCGTTCAAATGGATGAAATAAGTGAAAAAATGGGTTTGGATTTTGAACAGTTGAATAAAGCAACCAAAAAGTTTAAAATTGGATTTATTTTCTGATTTATTTTTGTTTGTTTTTTTTTCCAGATTTTTTGTGATTAGTCTTTTTTTTCTTTTTTTCATTCAAGTCGTTTCAAGTCTTTTTTAGCGGATATTTTTAGTGCAAAAAAAACTTGTAAGAAATGCAAACTTGACAAAATGTGAATGGTCGTGTGAGTGTAATTGAAAGAAACTAACGTCTCATCCAATTTCTTTCATCGTTGTTTCAGTTGTAAACTGATCGAACAGTATGATTGAACACTCTCTCTTCCGCAATTGATAGAATCGTCTGTTCAATAAACCGTGCCTATAATTGAAAGAAATACCTGTAATCGGCCAAATCGTACGTCATTAGCGTTTGTTTTTGCAGTACAGTATCTAAGCTTTGGTTTTCAATGTTATCGTCAAATCGAAGCGTATCGCGTGACTGCCCAGCATATGAGCAACTATCGGTTATGATCTGTCACGTCGGTCCATTAATTGAGCACCTGTAATTTGATTACGTCAGTATGGACGGACCTTGGTCTGTTGGCAGTGTAGATCAAACTCTTTGAAATACGTCACACTTTTTTCAAAGTCATAATTGATTTTGATGGAAAAATAGAAAAAAATAAAATATTTTTGGGCTTTCGGGTCAAAATAAAAGATTCATTTGGGATTTGATATTTTGTTTTTGTTAGATTCTCTCTGAATTGATTTCGGATATTAGATCATTTAACTAAAACTACAACAAACAAACGATTTGGTCGAAATGTAACAAATTGAATAGATTGCATGCTCTCGTGTGGATTTGCATTGTCACGTATCAACAAATTGCACGTCATCTGCGCACTGAACTGTAGAAAATACAACACATTCGCACTAATGATGTAGATAATATGTTGAATATAGATAATTTTCACATTCAACTAAACCGCAAGCATCAAATAGGCACGAATATTTAATTTGCATCTTTTATTTGCCAATGGACTGTTCGCAAATCGAAACATGGAAAAAATCGCTGAGGAAGTTCAACAAGTTAGCACTTTTAGACGCATTTTGCCGCAGGTTTGTTTGGAGGGGAAAAACAAATTGCACTTCTGAGAAGAAAAAATTTGAGTTTGATTGGACTTTTGGGCATTGGGTACACTATGAAGTTTGAATTTTTGTTTGGAATAATATTTATATCAAATAATTAATTCATTCAACTCAAAAAATTTCTTGAAGTTTTTCTACAGCAAATTCGATACAAAACCGATAAATTCAGTAAAAGTAAAAACAGCAATAAAATATATTAAAAAACTAAGACAAAGTGACAAAAAGTAATGGAAAATAAACAAAAAATTAAAAAAAGTGTAAAAAAAGGATTTAAAAAATTGGATAAAGTTTCAAACTTCGACTTTGTTTAAATTTTAGATATTGGCAACAACGGCAAAAAACTTGATCATTTTCAATTTGGGAGAATTTGCAGCGTTCCCATCGATTGTCATCCCATCGTTGATTGGAGTGTGCAGTGAATTAAATCCAGAAGAAACACTTCGTATCACACCGGCTCAGACTTCATGGCTATGTAAGATTTGCATTCTTTGTTTTACACCATTTTTTTCAATTTCGCATAATTTTTTGCAGCCAGTTTTGCACATGTGGCACATCCGATAGGGAGTTTGCTCAGCGGTCCGGTTTGTGATAAAATTGGTCGGCGCAAGGCTATTTTGATGGTAACAATTCCACTCACAGTTGCTTGGGTTATGCTTGGCTTTGCTCAGTCATTTCCACTGATTTCCATTTTATTTTCGGTTATTGGACTTTGTATGGGCATGAAAGAAGCCCCTTCAATTACTTATGTCAGCGAAATAAGGTGGGTTGGCTGTAGATTTGGAGAAGAATTTTAATTTGAAAAAAAAATCCAAAATATTTTTCATCACATTGAATGACTGTTTAGTCCACAGTTTAGTGGTGCATTTTTCATTTTGATTAACTCAACTAATTTCAATAAAAATACGTAAAAATTGAGAGTTGCAGTGAGCCAACGATGAGAGGTATGATGTCAACAATCGCCGTTATGTCGTACAACTTTGGCATATTCATTGTGCTTGGATTTGGATTAAAATTCTCGTGGCGACAAGTCGCGTGGATCTGCGCCGTTTTTCCATTCAGCTGCTTGATTGCTGTGCTTTTTGTGGGTTTTTGTTCTTGTCTTTGCTCTTTCTCTATACATTTTTCTTATTTCCACTTCGATAACAAAACTACTGATCTATTGATTGATCGCGCAGGTGCCGGAATCGCCTTCTTGGTTGCTTCTAAAAGATCGACTAAATGACGCTGAGAAGTCACTTTGTTGGCTACGAGGCTGGGTATCACCGCAAAGTGTTCACCAAGAATTCACAAAGCTACAAAATTACAGCGAAACATCGAGGTCATGCATTCCATGTGCAAAGCAATCGATCAAATGCCAACATCCGAAGCCGACATTCTGCGATAAAATTAAAGAAATAAAACGGAAACGTACTTTAAAACCATTTTTGCTCGTGACATGTTTGCATTTCTTCTTTGAATTTTGTGGAATCATCATTTGGCAGCCGTATATTATCCAAGTGATCAAAGCGTTTGGAATACCACTCAATGCCAATTTAACAACGGTGATCAGTGCTGGCCTGGGCATTTCAGCCAGCGCCTTTCTGATTTCAACAGTGAAAACAATCGGGCGTCGAAGACTCTATCTCACCTCCATTTCGATTGTAACACTCTGCTCATTTGGATTAAGTAAGTGCAACATTGACATTTGAATATTCAATTGAAAAAAAAAAATTCAATTTTTCCCTGATCAAATTTCAGGCATATATGGCTTTATTTTTCTTCCATGGGGCTGGACATCCTTCAGAAAATACCCGTTTGAATCGTCGGATAAATTTGATTATATTCGAGGTGTTGTCGGTGATTACGGCTATTTGGCGCTCGCTCTTATCCTGATCATGCAATTTGCAACGAAAATTGGCGTTTCTGGGCTGCCACATATTTTTGTCAGCGAAGTATTCCCATTTAAGTGCGTTGATTCTCTTTTTCAAACATTCATCTTATTTAAAACCACGATTCAATTGACATTTCCTAGGTCACGCACGTTCCTTTGTGGTATAGCAACAGCCAATCAATATGTTTTAGCATCGATTGCCACGAAAACATATTATAATATCGAAACTTGGCTATCGCTACCGGGAGCTATCCTATTTTATGGCATCATCAGTTTCGTCGGGTTAATTGTGATGTATAATATTATGCCGGAAACCGAACAAAGATCGCTCGAAGACATCGAAAGGCATTATTCAGATAATAAAAAAAGCATCACCGATATTTACATTTGTAAAGGTTCTAATGGCGTCAAATAAATTCAGTTACAAATGCGAAATTTTTTTCATCTTTAATTATTGAAATGTTGCTTATGACGGAAGAAATGTGTGGAAATATTACTCGAATCCAGAGTGAACATAATAGGCTTCGATGAAAGCCTAAATTTCTTCCATCACGCTTTCATAAGTTCTATGTACATTTTAAATACTGAAGACTGAACGCTTAGGTTTTCATTGCTATTCTCACTTCTTTCGTGCATTCGTAGCACTAGGCATTCAGTTGTATGAAACGTACACAGCTCAACTCAAAGCCGATGAAGTATGTTGGTGTGAGTGTGAAATACAATAGCAACAAAAGCCTAGGTGTTCAGTATTTAAAATGTGCATAGAACTTATGATGAAAGCAGGCTTCCAATTATCGCATACACAATTATTTACAGTTCATCATAATGAAAACACACATCCACACACTGAAAGAGATCAAGAGGATGAATTTGCGGAAACATTTAACCAACAAAATTGCAAAAGTTGGTTGCAGTGGGTTGCAGATAAATTTATTTATATAAATTTCAAATATCAAATAAATTTATCCGATATTTTTCATGCGTTATGTTGTTCTGACGCATTCGTAGTACATAAACGAAACATCGGCTGTTGTATTGGCAGCCAGCTATTCATCGCAGGAATGAGATTTTTGTTTTGTTCATTTACCGATATTTGTGAACAAGTCTGTCACTGTGTCACTACATAGTATGTATAATCCATAAGAAATGTGCAGAGACGAAAATGTTCGCCATTTAGTTTTACATTGCCAATGCATTAGTTATGGAGATTTTTGTTTTGTTTATTTTTTGTTGTTTGTAAACAAATCTGCATATCTTTGGCAATGTAAAACTAAATGGCGAACATTTTCGTCTCTGCACATTTCTTATGGACGATATATACTATGTAGTGACACAGTGACAGACTTGTTCACAAATAACGGTAAATGAAGACACATTCTTTCGCTGGTTGTATGCTAGGTTGTATAATATTGCGGCTGATTTCAATTTGGGCCAAAAAGTGATGAGCTTCGTTTGGGCGTAATTTTTTCTTATCAATTTTTGCCAGTTTGAATTAATCACAGCCGATGATTCATCGATGACTCAACGTTGATATGAATAAATCATAAACACGATTCGAACATTGAAAATCGAAAAAACAACTTTGTTAATTGCATGCAATTTCCTTTACAAATGGAAAAAAATTCCCTTTCGAGCGATTTTTTTGTCAATTTTAATCGAATGATTTAAACAAATGGTCTGTATAAATGGCTAATGCGTAATGCCCTATAATGTTCTGAATTTCCTAAGTACATTCAATTGACTTCAAGCGCAATAGAGTATCATTAGTAAAGCAGAAAAGCCAAAAATGTATAAATAATTACGGCGGAGATCAGTGGTCATCATTTGAAATCAGTTCTTTGTCAAAGCAAAATTGTGTTTTTGTGAAAAAAGCCGTTCTTCGTCTATCAGACGACAACAAGTGTTTTCGAAAATGGTGAAGTTTGGAGTCTTTTGTGTAACGATTGCTATTGCAATTTCTGTGAGAAATTGTCTGTGCAAACCACAAAATGCTATAAAACCTTTCCAACAAGTATTCCAGCCACAGCCGACGGTACAAATTTCCCAACCACAGCAGATGGGACCATGTATCGGATGCGGCGGTAATGGAGGTAAAATAATAAATAACATTAAAAAAAACGTTTAAAAACTCTCAACAACAAAATATGAAGAGAAACTTCGTGCTGCGTTGCGTCATTTTTATGTACAGTCCGCTTTGAAAACGAAACGTCTGCGAAAAAATGAGACAAACAAACATAAACGTCAATTATATATAAAACTTACACTGATGAGCTTATTGGTTATGCCGTCGAACTGTGGCACTACTGCACCACTCGAATATCGATTCATCACTCAATGTTTCTCCCACTATTGTCTATGTTACTATATTGTTTTCAATTTATATCGAAATAATGATAAAATGATATTTGTTTTCACAGAAATTGGCCAGTGGACGATACATTTTGGACGTGGTCGAGCTATGACCGATGCTCATGGGTCTCCATGTGATTTTATCCAACAATGCGATTCATATCTGAAAATAATAGTCAATGGTGAAGAGGTGTGGCGAAGCCATACAGAATGGGGCGAATCGGATCCCAACTACCAAGAAACATTTACGATGCGAGGATTGAACAAAAATGCAAATATTGAAATTCAAATGTGGGACAATGACGTTTCCAATCGTGATGATTTGATGTCAGAATGGTCAAATCATTCCGTTCTTTCGTTGTCACAACGCAGCTACCTGGGTAGCCATGGATGGGGAAGTAGTGATCAAAACAATGTCCAAATTAAAACCCAATGGACACCAATTTACAATTTTGGTTAGAGATAGAATCGAATTCGATTGAATCGCGGTGCAAATTGACGGCTCATTGGATTTTCTTTTCAATAAATGAATTTTTATCAGCACACTTTCAATTAGCAACTGTATCGATTAACAAATTGACTGTATCAAAAGCACGTTTTTTAGTTTAATACAACATGTTTCACTTGTAACTTGTACGGATCAATTAGTTTGTCATTTTTTTCTTTTTTGAAATTATTAAACCGAAAAAATCTCCATAATTTGTCTGTTAAAATGTTGCAGCTTTTGACCATCACTTGTCTGATGACGTGAACCATTCTTATCATTTCTAACATAAGGGTTAATTAACGCGTAACACAATCATCTATTGATTAGAAAAATAACATTAGTTTTTTGATTATCCAAAAATTGAGAAGAAGAAAAAATCGCTTCCACACAATGTGCAAGATTGAAACTGATATAAAAAAAATCCGAAGAAAACAAAACAAAAATAAAATAAAATGACTCATATTTGTTCAAGCTTTAGATTTTTTCTGTACTTTCATTTCTTTTTGAATGAAATTTTTCGTATAGTGATTAAAAACAATTGAAGCGAATCTTTAATGTCAACTTATTCGAAATGTGATTGAAAAACTAAAAAATGATGAAAAAAAAAATGAAAACCGACGAACGGTTCAGAAAAAAAGGTGCTCGACGATTCAATGCATGTCCAATCGGTGATCACTTTGTTATCTGGAATGAATTCATTGCATGAGCCGTTGTTGATGTGGTGACCCTTGGTAACGGCGATTCCGTGTGCTTTGATCCAAAACGGATAGTATGCGACACATAGCACTTGAAGCAATTTTCAGTTGTTCGATGATTTCACAACTTAGGGAGTGGCTCGAATCGTCTGGGTGGCTTGGGAATTCGTAGGAATCATCACTTGCATCCATGGTCTCAAAATCCATTCCGGTGGAAAATGGCTCAACATCAGTGATGCCCTTTAAATGAAATTTAATGAAAATCAATGTTTTTTTCAAATTGCTTAGAATTGAATCAGCGATCGACTTACAATTAAATCGTTGGTTGAGTCGGGCATTGCAATAGAATCGCTTTGCAAAGTGTCACAGTTTGCTTTGCTTTCGATGGATGGTGTACGGCATGAAGAAGTGGCATCGATTTTGATTGAAACAGTTGTGTTAGTGACCAGGTCGTCATCAAATGAGGTGTTGAGGCTAGTGTCGGTTTCTCGAGCACTTCGATCCACTTGATTTTTCGCTGCGTCTGTCTGATCCACTTCTGTTGCCGTTTCAGTTGTTGTGGCTATTTCTGTTTTGTTTGTTGTCGTCAACAAGACAATGTCATCGAACTCTGGATCGGGTTCGGTGTACAATTCTCGTGGTTGGACCTTTTTCTTTGGCTCTGGCTTCTTCAATGAATTAACGGCAATGGTGTTCTTAGTTCGCGACTTGCATTTGGTTTTGGGGCGATCTGAACGGTTGTTGGTATCAATGTTGACTGTCGCATTGATTTTCTCAATGTTCGCAAAGATTTCCTTAGGTATTGCCATCGGCGTTTTCGATGTTTGGGCTGCTTTTTTCGTTGTTTTTACTGTCTTTTTTGACTTTATTACTGGGATCTCAAGTTCGTTCATTGACCAATCAGCATCGTTTACCAAGATTTCAGGTGAGTGTATCGACAGCTTGACCATACTCGGTTCAACTGCAACATCAGGAAATTTTGACGCATTTTTCGTTTCGTTGATCGATTTTTTTGGCTCGTTCACTGGGATCTCAAGTTCATTCATTGACCACTCAGCTTCATTCACCAAGTATTCGGGGGAATGTACCAACTGTTTGACTGCAGGAATAGACAATTTTGACAATTTTGTCGATTTTTCAACTTGTTCCATAGGTTTTTCGACTCTTCCAGCCATCGCTTTGGCCTGTGCACCAACTGGTTTCTTCACTCGAATCGTGTACAATTTTTCCGGTCGTTCTTCTTCTTTCATCTGCTCAATTTTAACTCGTGGAAATGATGCTGGCTTCTTTCTCTTCTTTGGCTGTGCAACCTGGCGTTTCTTTTTCAGCATTGGCTCGTTGTCATCTTCATCATAGTCATAAACATCTTTTTTTACTTCTACAACATCAATGGCAGCGTCTATCAGCTGCTTTTTGACACGATCCACTGCAATTTGTGCTGATTTCCGTTTTCGATTTGGTTTCTCTTCAAGGCAAACCTGTGATTGATGTACTGGTGACTCATTCGCTTTAGGACTCTGCTCGGCTTGAAAAACCGTGCATTTGGATTTCGAAAATCGACGCAATTTAGCATTTAGCTCCGTTAATATCGATGGTACTGCAACTGGTGCATCGTCACCTTGATCTTGATCGTCTTCATTATCCGAAGAATGGATCAATTGCCATTCACTAACTGACTTCTTCGATCCATCCAATGCTAACTTTCGCAATACTGCATTCATGGATTCTCCATAGAAGGTCGACTGAACGATGCCATGTGGAGAATCATCGGTTTCTTCGTCGTCGAACTGAGAACGCTAGGAAAAGACATGGAAAAAGGGACAAAAAAAAAATCAACATTTTATCCTACAAACTGTTCATGCACAAAATGAATAAAGAACAAAATCAATACCATAGCGTATTTGTTGATGAGATAAACCATCCAGCGATTGTAGTCCGAGGTGCCAGTCTCATCGCGAAAATAAAATGACATATTTTTAAGGGCGTCCTCCGGAATGATACAATGGAACAATTGTTTCAGCCAATCAGTCATCTTTTGTTTGTTGTGCTCCAGATAAGAGCACAAAACGTTCACAATTTGCGCTTGCTTCGAAGCCGACCGAAGCTCGAAGAAAAGTTTGGCACATTTTCGACTGGAAATAGAGAAAAATCAATTAATTCTTGATTAAATTTATAAATTTCCTAACAAATTTTGTTTGCGGAAAAGTAAGAGAGAAATCTACTTCATATATTTAATCCGGAATCGGATCCAATGTCAAAAAAAATCAACCAAATTGATGTGCACGTTATTCGGTTGAAATTTGGCGAATCGATTACTCTTCAGAATGATGAATTTCATGAAGACAAAGCATAAGGTAAAGTATACGATTCTGTTGATTCAACTTACAATTCATTGATGTCCATCACCAGAAAAATGGTGTACTTCGTTGCGCTTGGAATATTTTTAAGAAATCGCAACCATGCGTCCAACAATTGGGCGAGTAAATCAAACTCTGCGGACGCGTTGCACAACAATTCGGTGATGTCGCATAGACAATCAATGTCGGTTTGAATGTCATCCATCAATGCGTGGTTTTTCTATTTGAGGTGTGAACAAAACAGAAGTTCGATTTAAATTCTCGTTGGAATTATTTCCAGATATTTTACTTTTCCGTACACAACGTGTCAAGGGAAAGTATAGGAATTGGTCCCGAAAACTTTTTTCGCAAAATTAGCTTAGATCATCATAAAAACTCATGAAACGCGTAGAAAACCACTTTTTGAGACACTTTTCCGTTCGTGTGCCGTCGTTGTCGTTGTCGTTGTCGTAGCTGTTTGTAAACACGATAACTCAAAAAATAATTGAGATAATCAAAATCTGGAAACGCCAAAAGTTTTGTATTCGAAAAACTTAGTTTAAGTTCGAAGATGAGCCATTTTCGATTTGATCCTGGGGTACTTGCCCTAAGAAAAACCTCAAAAAATTGATACTTTTGTATGGGAGGTACCTGTAAATCGATTCCGATTGGCTTCAAACTTTCTGGGATTTCATTTTTTGAGAGAAAAATAAGATTCTGAAAGTTTCGTGTTGATCGCATGTGCAGAAGTTTGGTTTTTGGCCCTCAATTTTTTCCAAGAAAATTTCAACAAAAATTGAGGACAAAAAATCAAACTTCTGCAAATGCGATCAACATGAAACTTTCAGAATCTTATTTTTTCTCCAAAAAATGAAACCTCAGAAAGTTTGAAGCCAATAGGAATCGGTTTACTGGTACCTCTCATACAAATTTGTCGAGTTTTCAGTTAGAGTGACCGATTTTTCACTTTATTTTCATTATTATATTTTCACTGCCTTTATTTCAAGAAAATTCACAAAAAATAACCAAAAGTACCTACAGACAACGCAGGCCAACGGTACGGAAAAGTTCGGGATTACCAATGTAATTCTTTTTATTTAGTATCAAATTGGATATCTTACCGGAATTGCAAGCAAAGAGGCAATGAATTGTTTTTCTGTGGCCTCATTTCGGTGACAAGCCAACCGTTCTGCAATGTTCTTCAATGTCAATACTTTGGTTTTGCCTCTGTCTTTGACTGTGGATTCCATTTCCAAGGATTGTGAGCGATTTCAGAGGGAAGAACAGCTGGAAAATAAGAAAATGGTCAACGATTCGATTGATATTTATCTTTAAACGATCGTTGAACAATTTTCAATGTTTCGACTGGAGGCTACTTTGATACAAAATGACCTATGTTCAAAATATGACCTTAACACATTGTATTTTTCCGACGAAATAGCAACCGGTTTGGAACAAAATTCAGCGATATGAGATTCTATGAGATTTCACTTTTGTTATGGTTTCAGTCATAGGCGAACTGTAGCCATGCGAAAAAAAAATCATGATATTCTTTGTTTGAACGAAAGATATGTCGTGTGTTTCCAAAAAAATCACATTTTATGATTTTTATGAACGCTATAATGAGATAAGTTCAATTTCAAATGCTTCAAAATGATGAAATTGTTGAATTTTTTACCTTTCCAAATCTCACTTTTCACGCCACTACTTTCGACTTGCCAATTTTATCCACTTTTGAAGGCACTTCTAGCTCTCGTCTCGGTGTCTTCTACACGTTCATCCTCTCCAGTCGAATGATTAAACTGGTTTGATGCATGACATACGCACATTTCACACGGGAAGGCACAATTTTTAACACGTAAGCTGTCAAAAAAATGGCTTTGGTTCTGAGATAAGAGACTGTCTGTTGCACACAGCTGAAAACTTGATGACGCTAGCAATAGCGGTGTAAAGCAGGCAACCATGTATGTATGCAGAGGAGGTGGTGTGTTTAACAACAATCGGGAACTATTGATGTTTGATTTCTTCCTGTCAACAAAAGGAACATTGTTCGACGAACGAGTTGAGTGTGTATGAGGCTGCATTGATCGTTGGGTGAGTTGAATGCCAGTGATGCATGTTGAACGTGAGCTAACGAATTCAAAGAGATAAAGAGTGTATTTGACATGCTCTCGAATTGATTGCATTTTTCGAGCATTTTTGCCGCCAAAATTTGTATGTAGACAATTCTCTAGAACTGACAATGCAAATGATCAAGATTGACCTACGTTCGGATTGAAAGGTGATTCCTGTTTAACTCGTCAAGTTACTTTCACAACCATGTCGTTTCATATCGAATAAAGAAGGAAAGAAAGATTCAAGTACGAAATATGCCAACGAAACAATCGACGAATCACTTCGAAATGGCGAATTATTCCATTTTCAAACGGCTATTCGTCTTACCCATTCCAATTTTTCAATAAGAATTCGTCTTTCTGAAATTTTGAAGAATTGAACCGGACAAAACGCCATTCCAAAACACAAATGAATATGAACACATTCCCTGGCTACGTTCCATTGAATTACTCTCCATGAGATTTATTTCAGCAAAAATATTCAATTTAATTTTCATTGGAAACATTTGGATGTGTAAATATTTATATATATGAATAACGAATAAATAAATTTTGTGCCTTCTTAGTTCTTATGAAATCACTCTCAAGTCAAGGTTATGCCTCTGAGCTGTTTTTTGAAAGTGATTACGATTCGCTTAATTGCTCAAATGTACAAAAATGTGCACTCGTCAGTGACAAGACTACTAAAATGAAGACTTGGGAAATGCATAGGGAAAGTGCCACAATACATTTTAAATGTAAGTCATTTGACACATAGCAGTCAATGCCATCTCAATTCCAACTCATTGATTCATTGTCATTTTCGGCAACTTTTTTCAAACGTGTATGGCTTGAGTTGAATATAATCAACTTTACGACGACGCTAACAGCTTCTTTGTGGGCCGGTACTACGCGTTAGCCAAAACATATTGATGTTTCGCAGTGATTACTCGATGCATTTGCCAAAATACTATGATTTTTGTACTCTCTTCTACGATGTGTGTGCGCAGAGAAGCTGCTAGTGTCGCCGTAAAGTTGATTATATTCAACTCAAGCCACACACGATTGAAAAAAGTTACTCGAAATATTCGATGATTCAATAAGTTGGTTTAGAGATGTCATTGGCTGTCTTCCGGACTACCAGCAATATATTCATGGGGAAATGTGATTATCGTTTACGACTCAAATATTGTTAGTAAGATTGATTCTAGTTGGATAAATTAAGGCAAATTTTCAAAACATGATGAACGACGAAAACTCTCATTCCATTGAACGAAATGAGAATTCACAATCTAATTCAATTCATTGACATTTGGAACAAATCTTTTTTTGTTTTTTTGAACAAAATCAATTTCATCAAAAAAAAAAAACTAAAGTAGTAACTCTTTTTAATTTCTTTCAACCAGATCGATCTCGCGACTGATAAATACACGGTTAATGGATTGATGAGAAAGATACGCTTTTGAGGACATAACGAGCTCTTTTTCAAAAACAAAATCAACTATTTTCATTAATTTAGAAACCAAAAATTCAACAGTTTCACAATAATTCTAACCTATTTGGATCAATGATTCAGTTTATTGGATTCTTTGAGCACATCGTCGCCAGCTAAATGAGTTGCACGATGGCTGCTTTCTCGTTGCTTGCATTCAATTTGAGCTGGACTATGATCCTATCGACGGTGTGCATCGACATTGTCTCGAGTTGGTGTCCACTGTGGAGAGGATGTTATGTGTTAACTGAGAAATCGTCTTCAGATCATCGATTGCTTTGGCATCAAGCCTCCCGCACAAACAGCTTTTGATGTTGGAATTTGCATCGATGTTCTCATCGTTTGAACCGTCAAAGTGGACGAGCGCATTATTGGATTCCTGAAAGTTGAGAAAATTCAATGGAAAACGTTCAGAAATTGGATGATAAGTAGGGAAATGTATGCCAAGCGATGAAATCCTAATCTTTGAAGGAAAAAAAGATTCCAGAAAGTAAGAATCTATGAGAGAACTGGAACATTCGATCGAATCAAGTCGTTTTTCAAAAGAAGAATCGAACTACGACAAAAACGGTTTGAATTGAATTAAATTCTATCTAGAAAATGCTTTGAATCCAAAACAATGGTTCAACAGAGATCGGATCATTCAATCGAGAGTCCTTTTAAAGCGGAAATGTTCAATGAAAAGGATCGTTTTGGCCAAATTAGTTTTACTTACATTTGACACAATGGTTGAATCGGCTGATTGTAGTTTTTTCCGCGATAATGATGCGGCCCGGTAGGAAAAGCTTGCGCTTTGTCTGTTGACGGCAGCATTTTCATTGATTCGACCCAAATTGTCGAAAACACGTTTATTCTGCTTCTGAGTATCACCGTTGAATGAGCTTCTGAAGCTTCCACCAGTCAATTCATCGCTTTGCCAAACGTTTGTTTTTTTCGGTTTCTCTTCTTCGACCATCTCAACATCTATGATGTCTGTTTCGCGGTACAATTTTCGCGCTTGTTTCGGTCCTTCTCGTTTGAATGGACTGCTGGCCACAGCGACAGGTGGTAACGTGAATTTGCGTGGTGGAACCGCTTTGCGTGGCGTTCTTTTCACTTTGGCCTTTGGCTCATCAGATTCGACTGGGAAATCGAATACATTATCAGCCATGTTCTTAATGCTCCCAGCCGCTTTTTGAGCTGCCTTTCGCTTTGTCGGTTTCTGCTCTGGAGCTTGATTCGACTGGCTTGTCATGGGTTTCGGGAACGATGATGATGATGATGCATTGTGAATATCAGGTTTCTTCTCGCTCGCATAAAATGAGCTCGTTGAAATTGTATGATCGGCCAGAACTTTGATCGGTTTCTTCTTGGGACTCTGGTCCATTTCATCGTTCGACAAACTGATCACTTCATCGACCTCAATTTGTCTTGGTTCGAACGGCTGCTTTCTTGACACTCTTGACTCTTTTGGCACTCTTTGCTCCTTCTTCACGACCACCGGTGGTGAATCATCTCTCACCAAATCAACGAAATCAGACGGTTTCATCATCTTCACCGGCGTTGTAGAAGCGTAGCTTGATGTGGGCTCAACTTCGATCGGTTTAATTCGTTTTGCAGTTGCCGATGCAATTTGTACCTCATTTTCGAGTTCAACTATCTCAATATCGGAATCTTGCTCTGAATCATCCTCCATCACCTCTGAATCATCCTTCATCTGCTCGCTTGAAATGATTTCGGCCTCTTTTTTGAACTGCGAATGGAAATTGAGGAAGAAACCAATTAAAATGTGCGATATAAAACACTTTGGATGGGCATTTCTTTCGAAAAATGCCACACTTTGAAATAGTTCGAAGAGAGTGACGCACAAACAATGAAAAGATAAACAAAATGACGAAAATTCCAAATGAAATGTACGTGTAAATCGAAAAATCTGCCCCAAAAATAATAATTGATCGAAACCAATTGACACAAACTCACCATTTTGCGAAGCAGCGGCTGCAATTGTGACGTGAGAAATCCACATTCATATTTCACTTTGATGTTTTTGCCTAGCAACTTTTGCGAGTTGGCCTTATCCCCTTGTGCCGTTTCAATTCGCACTGATGAATTTAGATTGAACACCATTTCGATTGCGTATGGTGAGCCATAGCTGCAAATCACACGAATCGATTAATAAAACACAATTTATTCATTCTGCCTGAAGGTTTTTTTTTAGAGAGTTTCGCCTTTCTTTGACAATTTAAACCATTGCAAATGGAGTCTGGTAGGCTTAGAATGCTAAAGCTGGCTAGTTTGATTCAAGTTTTAGTTGATTTCAATGGAATGATCGTTAATTTCGACAAATTCAAACGTTTAATGTCAATTTTTAGTAACTTTCACTGTTTGGTTGAATACAAAATTGAATAAATATCAAAAATTGATGAATTCTTGCAAAGCAAACTTACTCCACGATATGAATGTTGATGATGTTTTTTGCTCGAATGGTCACCTTCAAGTCATCTCCGTTGAATCGTACCCACAATTCAACAGTATTGGCTGGCTCGTTCAAATGGATGAAGCCAGCACCATTCTGTTGTTGGAAAAGCCACAAGAAAATGATTTAATTTCGTGGATTCGAATGAAATTTATTGAATTTTTGATGAGAACATGAACATTTTGCACCGAATTCACGAATTTCAAACTTCACATGGGAAAATGTTCTCCGGGATCGACGATTCATATCCAAAAGCAACGATTTTTTAATGACAATGAATATTTTTCGCGAAATTCGATGTGGAATGAAAGCAAACTTACCTCGAATGTGAATATTTCACTGTCGATCTGCACGGTTCGAGCGGATTCCGTGAAGACGGTTGGTTGTTGAAGCCGCTGGTTGAAGCGGTGGATCAACATTTGCTTCTGAGCAAACGAACTGTAATCGATTTTAACGTAATCATGAAGATCATTTGTGCGGAACGGCACCTTTTTGAACAGCGCACCCATCCATTCCGAAGGATCTTTCGAATCCTCATCGAAATATGCACGAATGATGTCAAGTAATTTGTGTTGCACCGAGGCTGAACTGGCACTGGCCATGGATTGTGCACACATTTTGCTATGAATTTGGGAAAAGGCAGAATTGAGATTGAAATATGCGCGAAATGAATGGAAACGATGCACACATTTCAGTTGAAACAAAGGAATCTGATTTTAAAAGCAAAAACGTTGGCATTTTCTTTTATTTTGCAAATTTTCAGATAAAAAAATTGAACAAACTAATGGCTTTACTTACAATTCCTTGTCGTATTTAAGCCGTGCGGTGTGTTTTTGTTGATTGGGAACCAATTCGAGTAGTTCAAGCCAAACTTTCAATACTCGATCGTAGAGTGTGATCTGCTCACCAATCTTTGAGCATAAATTGCACAGCAGTTTTGTTAGCCTATTGAAATTCTTGCAAAAATCGACCGGTGGCTCTTTGACCATTATCTGTTTGTTCAGATATTTATGAGTGTTTGTACGAAAAAATGGCATTAAAATGAATTTACTCACCGATATAAGCTTCAAATAGCCTATGAAACTGGCGCTAAATCGATGACCTTCTTCATCAGTCAAACGTTCAGACATGTATGCAATGTAACCTAGGACTTTGTCCCATGGAATTTCGTGCTGGTTAAAAGAAAAATGCGGCAAATTTGAGAAAATGTTCAATGGAATGGAGAAGATTGCAATAGACTCAGGACAAAAATGTTGGAAAATTTTCAGAGAAGAAGAATTTCATTTTCAACATTTCAAAAACTACGATAATCTAAGGAAAAAATGACAAGAGTAACAAGGCGGCTTTGGAAATGGTAGGAAAAATGGTGCAAATTCAGTGGAAGCCATGAAAAATTCCGAATTGACGAAGAATTGACAAAATATCCAAATGAAAAACTGAATAATTTATTACAAAACTTACAATTTTCTCTGGGTTTTTGCATTTTTTTTGATATTCAGCGAGGTCTTTGTCGATAACCTTTGCGCGATGTAGGATGGTTTGTTCGACATTTTGTTTGACATTCGATTCTTTGTTCACTTGGTCACTTTCTACCTGTTCCGCCATTTTTGAGACCTTGATTGTGCTTTTTCACAAGATGTTTGGAAATTGTGTCGTTCTGTTCGAACCGAATGAACTTTTCCGTGCTGATTATGTTGTCTCTGGACTGATTTTGCACTTTTCTGTCTTATGATATCGGCATAAGGCAGTAAATTCCAATCAGAACTTGCGCCACATTTACAATCTTGATTGGGTCTTCGTTCAAACTATCAAATCACACACCAAAAACTAAAAACCAATGCAATTTACGCCAACACATTTAGCAATTACGCACAAAAATTCATTGTTTCAGCAAAACTAATCGATTGTGAACTGTAAAAATGCCATTCGTTTCAAATAACTTTGAATGGAAATTGGTCGACGACGAAGAAACGTACGACAAAGACTTCTTCGTTGTAGTTAGAAAACTGTATACACACCAAAAACGAATGCAATTTATGCCAATCACATTTACTCAATTCGAACTAAATTCACTTCGATAATCGATTTATGCTGGATTTTCGTTAAAAAAACATCGAATAACTCTGATTAGATTTCGTTTTCTTTCCGAAAAAACCAACACAAAGTTCCACTTTTTACAAAAAGTCACTTTTTTCCACGTCAATTTGCTGTTTTCACAAGATGGCTACGGTCGCACGGCTTCTTTTTTTTCCCATCGCATTGCATTGCTTTGATACACAGCATAACGGAACACCAATACACAAACACAGTGCTGAGATAACAAACGAAACTCGTCCGCAGTGTTGAGCGTTTTGCGACTATCTGATTCGATGTACCTGTTTGCTTTTTGCGAAATGCGTCGCTGCACTGGAAAGTGAACGACGTTCCAATGTCAGCCGTGACACTTGCTGTTTGACATTTGGAAATTCACCACACCTTGTCGCTTTGTGTGCGTATTCGAAGTCGATTTACGCGGGAACGAATATGAACCGTCTCTTTTCGTATTTGATTCATTTTCTCGCACTGTTTTTATTTGTCCGTGTTTTTATTCTATTTGCTATGTAATTTTTTTCATCGTTTTTTATATGAACTGAGATCGCTTTATTCTTCTTGTCTTTATTTACTTTTTCTGTTTAATTTGATTTTTTTCGCTCAGTCAACGGAATCACTCTTTTCATTTTTGTTTTTTTTTGTTTTGTCCAACTTTTTCAGTTCAAATCTAACTTTTATCGAATTTTCATTGTTTTCTATTCAAGCACTTTTGTTTAGCGTTTTTTTTTTTGGCTTAAATTTATGAACATTGACGAATTTAAATTTTTATTTTAACAACTGATCGAATTCCAATTAGAAAATAGAACTGATTTCGCTTTTTTTTTTCTTGAAGAGTTGATTTTCATTGGCTCAAGCTGCTTAGCTTCGGCAAAAACAACCTTCGCGTATATTTCGACGGATCCAATTGAGTTGCATCGTAACACGAGTATAGATTCCAGGGTAGTTTGGTCTAGCACAACCAACGCCTATGCGATCGAAAAATGAGCGTTATTGACTTTATTTTGATATTGTGCGCAAAAAAAACTCAATCATAGACAGAATGTATAACACACACATCTTGACTGTCGAGAAATTCTAATTGGAACAAAATTTGGTTGCATTTTACGAACTTTTCTACAGAAATATTGCTTGGAATAAAAAAGTGAAGCAGTTTGTGGAATTTTCCTCTTTGACAACTGAATCTATTCCAAAGGCATTTTCTGGCAACGTTTTTATTGGAATTATATTGAGCCAAATTTGTCATCAAACATTTTCATAATCGCAGACAGAAAAAAGAAATGGATAAGAGCTCACGTACTTAGAATTTCTGGGTGAAACATAACTGATTTGTTTAAAAATAAATTTCAAACTGAATGCTAAACAAAGAAGTATCAATTATACCGAAAAAAGTGCAACATTTTCTCCAAATCGAACAAGAAGCGTGTGCCAACGCGACAATTGGTCAGCGGTTCGTGCTTGCTTAAACATATATTACAACTTACCCCATGAAACCACGCCCACAATTTCATATCGTCCGTTTGGTCTTCTTACCATCAGCGGTCCGCCAGAGTCGCCCTAAAACGAAGAAAATGTTGATTTGTCTCCATAAAAATATCTTCTTTATAAAAAAATGTTTTTCCAATGAAAAAATCCGCTTTATTGTTCGTTTGTTTCATTGAATAACGAAAAATCTCTTCATATCCACAATATAATCTTACCTGGCATGAATCGTATCCGCCTGAGGCAGGATATCCTGCGCACATCATGTAATCTGTCATCAGAATATTCGAGATGTTTTTGTAATAGCTGTTTTCAAAACACTCGGTGTTGCTTAGAATCGGCATATCTACATCTCGTAGAGTGCACGACGCATATCCGTGTTCAGACGTTGCTCCCCAGCCGGCTACAGTTCCCATCTGTGTAGCATACGTACTGTAATGTGACTCTGAAATTGAATTTTGTGAATTGGAAAATTTTCAAATGACTTCAGATCTCGTTTATGATGACGTACCTTTAGTTTCAGGCAAACATATGGGTGAAATGTATTCATTTATTGGCGCTGGACGATCCATTCGAACCAGTGCAATGTCTTGGCCGAAGATTGGCCAAGAACCCAATGGCGGTGAACGTGTCCATGAAACGTATGATGACCATTCGTGTCTGTTGTTAGCACATCTGTTGTGGTTGCCCAATGTCACGCGCAACATTGATCTTAACCAACTAGAATTAGTGAAAAACGATCAATGGAATGGATTCAACAGCAAGTTTTTGGTGAAATAGATCGAGAAGGAAGAAAAAATTCGATATTTGATTCGGAATAAATTGGATTTCAATTTTAGTTATTGCTTATGCTCCAATTTTCTATGCAAATTGCAAATTGTGATGCTTTTAATAGGATTGTTTTTTTTTTCAATTCAAATTCTTACACGTTCACGCAATGGGCCGCCGTTAGTACGAATCGGTCGTTTATCAATGTGGCGCCACAGCGAAATCGGTCGAAGTATTCCAATGTTGCTGTCCACGGGTATTCATTTGGTAATGCTGTCTGGCCTCTGGGAATAAACAAAAAAAACATGAGTCATAATGAAAATGAGATTGATGCTGAAATTCTTCGTTACTTACCCAACAATACGTTGCTGGTTATTTCTGTTATTAGCTTGCCCACACCCTGAAATGAAGAGAATTCTCGTTAATTTTAGTCTGAATTGTTGTCATTTTCAAAGCAAGTAACTGAAAAATTGCCACTTAGAAATGTAAAAAATGGCCAATTCGAATGGCATAAGGCGATAAGCGATCGAAAATGACATTGGAGTATTCCAGAATCGCCTTTTGATCTTCGAAACAAGTGAAAAGTCATTAGAATTTTGAATATTCTGACGGTTAAAACTTACTGCAGCTACACATTTTGCGTGCTGGGGTGAAATATCCGGCTAAAATACCATCGAAGAGTCCGCCGAAATACCCAGAACTTAGAGACGGCGTTACTTTTGTTTGTGCCAACGGCTCTGCCTCACTCGAATTGCTAGATCGCTCGGTGGGTTCGTCTTCGACGATGGAATCGGCACTGACTGATTGAAGTGTCACAATGAGAACGGCCAGAATAACAGACTTTGCCACGAACATAATTATTGCTTTGTTGATTCGATATGCAATTTTGTCGATCGGAAATGTGCGCCAATGTTTGATTCAGGCCGCAGTAATTCAGTCAATTCAAACGACTTGTTCGATGCTTTTATCTTATTTATTTATGCAGTCTTTCGTCACTTTTCTACAATTTTTTTTTTCTTTTTTGGAACTTTTCTTTCCTTATTCTGTATTAATGCCAACTGTCTATGTACTAAAAAGAGACATTCATTCAAACTATTGCTTATTCGGAATCTATTCAGCTTGAACACACGTTTGACTCTCTCTAAATCCAAAATTGATCTGATTTATTTGTTCATAGGAAATGTCTCTTTTTGTGTGGTTTCTTATGACAACATCAGCAAAAGACAATTTAAAACTAATTTAACCTAATGTGACACTAATGAATTCTTGAATACGCTAATTACATGTGAAATTTTGCTTAAAATTATGCCTTAATGACGTTATTTCGATGTCTTGTCGTCTAGCTCGCGCGTTCAGACTGGAATCGATCGCGTCGAATGGCTATTAGTTTCGACAATAGCATGCATCACGCGTATTTTGTCGAATCCAGTTCAGGTATCGCGTTACTCGTGTGTAGACACCAGGGTAATCTGCTCTAGCACATCCAATGCCTGGAAAATGAATGTTTGTTTAAAATGTGAAATTTTGTGGAATTTTATGTTGAAAAAATGCAACGCCGTTTAACGATTTGGTTTCTTTTTAAAGGAAATCTCAACTCGACTCACAATTCTGGTGAAATTCATATTGATTCGGACATTTGCCACCGAAGAATTGATCCGCTGAGAACAAAAACAGCGCATTGAATTGGTTGCCGAACAAAACGAAACAGTTGAGTCTTTGAGTTCTAATCCGTATGGAAAAATTTACTTTGTTTTTTTTTTAGCTTGGCACATTTTTAATACATTTTTTTTTACTCCCATCGGTTCAATTTTATCGGAATGAATGTCACACTTTGATTTTTTGTATGCAAAATTCGAAAACGATCTTATGTTCCACATGGAACTATTCCCTTTATTTCTTTGGTATTCACTTTGAAAACTATTTTTATTGAATAGAGACATTTGTGTCTATTATTATTGACATTGTCTATGGCATACATTAATGAGAACTTCCTTGCCTTGAAACACACATGAGACGTGTCTTCATCAAAGAAACCAAATGGATTCGACTGAAAACTTACCCCATGAAACAATGCCGGCCAACTCCATTCGTTTGTCGTTTCGTTGCGCCATCAATGGTCCACCGGAATCACCCTAGAACGAAATAAATACGATTTTAGTTAAGTAAAAGCCAGAATCTACTTTAGATTTGCTGTTGAACTGAATTAATTGCGTTGCATGACATGAATCCATTTCTACATCGCTTCATTTGCGTAAATGTCATTTGAAAAATTGCCAACACCCAATGGAAAATGAAATCTCAATTCTTAAATTTCAACTGTGAAATCTCCATTCTAAATTCTCAACTCTCCCACCCAGAATCACTGAATCAGACATTCCGTATGGCTGCATATTGAGCTGAGCTATTTACAAACAGCTGGCTGTTTGGTACATTTTGGTTTTGTGACTATCGAACCATGTAAATTCATGTGAGATGATAAATTTATGACACAAATTCATAGAAAGGATGGAAAAGGGTGTCCCAAATTTATCATCTCACATGAATTTACATGGTTCGATAGTCACAAAATCAAAATGTACCAAACAGCCAGCTATTTGTAAATAGCTCAGCTCGATATGCAATCACACGAAATGTCTGCACTGAATCTCACTTACAATAGCGAATTTTCAATTCAATGAAAAATGTCCTATTTACTCAAAGAAAAATCTCACCTGGCACGAGTCTTTTCCACCGCCAAAGTAACCCGCACACATCATATTCTCTGTTACCATGCTCGATGTGTAGCTTGACCGATGAACACACTCCAAATTGGTTAGAATTGGAACTTTGACGTCTCGTAGCACACATGATAGTACTTCTTGTTCTTCTTTCATTGATCCCCAGCCTGCAACAGTGGCTGTTGTGCCGGCGTAATGCGACGCTAGAAATGAGAATAGAAAATCGATTTCTTGAAAAAATCGTAATTTCAACTTGCCAAAGCTATTGGTTGTCTAGCTCAAGCTTCAGCGTGAGAGAGAATTGACTGATTCATAACGTGGTGACTGAAGATTTGTTGCCACTGATTGAATTTCATTCAATTTGCATCAACTCACCACGGCGGTTGGGTAAACAAATCGGTCGAATGACTTCATTAATCGGCACTCGATCGTTTAGCCGAAGTAAAGCGATGTCATTGTCATAGTTTGTGAAGCTAAACGGCTGTGATATGGCTCGAAGTATGAAACGTGACTCTGGATCCGAATTCGAATTGCATTTGTCATGCTCGCCGAATGTCACTTTGACCATAAACCAAAGGTATCTACGGAAATGACATATGAATGATAAGAATTAGTGACAACATGAAACTATTTTCTAGCGATTGCACTACTAAGGTTTCTTGTTTTCACTTTAAATTTGATGTATGTAAATTTGGTACAAAAATTCTCTTTTCAACTCACGCTTTGACACAATGTGCCGCAGTCAGAACGTATCGATCATTGATCAGCGATCCAGCACAGAAAAATCGGCCCATGAACGACAATCGAGCTATCCATGGATACATATTCGGCTCTGTCTCGATTCCACTGCAAGAAAATAATTCAACATTTTATTCAAGTGTCTCAGTTCGTACAAAATATATCACAATTTTTCGCATTCAATTGACTTTAAACCATTAATTTCAACTCAAAAACGAATCCATTGAAAGAAAAAGCAATTGAATTGCCAATTTTCCATATTTTCTTACCCAACAATTCGAGCTCCATAGTTGATTTCGCCACAACCTGAAACAAGACCAATGTTCATTGTTCAATGATTTTTGCAATAATTCATGAACAAAAAGAATAATTAGAACTTCTGATTTGAAAGAGTTCCTTTGATTCGCCGATGCGAGAAGTATCGTAAACCATCCAAATTGTAACATAGTCTGAATTGTAACAATTGGAAAAATAGACTGATTTTCTGCAAATCTCTGAAGAGTAGCTGTTGTTTTTTATATCATATTTGAGAAGAACACGAAAAAATCTTCCGATATGAATGTATGACTGTATGACTTATTTGTATTTTCTTAGAAAAGTGGTTTATTTTAAGACTATGTTACAATTTGGATGGTTTACGATAACTCGGCGAAGGACATGTTCGTATTTTCCATGAAAGATAACGAAACAATGCAAAAAAACTTACTGCATTTGCATCGACTTGGCGGCGTGTCGTGCGATAGCGGTGGTGCTTGGTTCGGATCTCGCATGCCCATTCCCATGATAAATCTGCCAGACTCTTTGCCTGGTCGCAATGAATTGATCTGGTTGGCCTCGTTTGCGTCACTCGAATTTCCGAATAGTGACCAACATCTTGCTTCCCATGCGAACAATAGCAACACGTTTAAATTCACTAATATGTCCCTCTGAATATGCATTTTCTCTGTTTCACGAAGAAAAGATGATTTCGTTTACTCGAAACTGGAATTTGAATGGGCCACGATTTCTATTCTATGTTTTGTATTGACATAAATAACCTTAAATTAAAAATGTTCTTTCTTAAGAGATTACAATTTGTTTGCAGCAAAACCACTCGTTCAAACTGTTAAACACCAAATTGACTAATCGAATGGATCGATGAGTTTATTAAGAAATGAGTGCTGCTTTTGCCACTTACCTCGACTTTACACACTCGTTAGGGCCAGGTATTGCGAAACCACTCGATTACAATCCATCTCCACATCAATGGAACACGTTTCGATGCTTAATTGCACTCGCTGCCTAATGACATTGGCCACCACTCAAATATCAATCCCTTCTCTTGCCTGTAAAACACTCTGCTATCAGCTGTTGTGGTTTGGATGCCAAATTGTGGCATTGCCTTACCCGTGGCCATCATTATCGACATTGTATGAATGAATGCAAGTCGGCCAACGCAAACGTGTGTCGATTTCATTCGATTTATATGCGACGCTTGGCAAGTGTAATGTCGGCACCGTATTTCGTCCAATCAGAAATGTGAGGTTAGGGTGCTCCAATTGGCCATAGCGTCGGTCGCTGGAAATAGAAATTCGTATGTGTTATTCTAGGTTTTCTTATCAGAAAATGATTTATTCTACGATTTTCATTGAAAAAAAAAAATAAACAAAACAACGAAAAAATGTTATGATTTTCTCCAGAAAATGTGTAAACATTTCAATTTTTTCAGTCATCTCATGACTTATGTCAGTCGGCACAACACTTTCTTAGTCTAGATTGATAAATCAATTTTTTTCCATCAGAATATCACAGTTTCACCTTTTTTTTTTCAAACAAAATTTTGTCATTTTCATCGAAAATGTGAATTTTAACACCAGAATTAGAATCAACTCAATTTTTCTCGCAAATCTAATCAGAAACAGAAAACCATTGCAACAACTCACGTGTCAAACATCATGCTTGTTGTTGTTGCTGAAAATTCGTGTTTAGAATGAATGTTCGGCCGTGCTTCCAACATTCCAATGGATATGTCAAACGAAATGGTTTCCAATAAAATGCCACTTGAACAAGTGCCAAATGGTGACACATACGTACAATCATACATACATTGCTTCTGTGTGTAAGGATTGAAGCGATTGAACGCCTTATGTTAAATACACGTCATCAACACATTCAAGTGCTTCATCGTATAACGACTCATAGCTGTAAATATAGGCGGTGTCACTGAGTTCATGCATTTTATATTTGACTATTTTCTAATAGGGTAATGAATTGATGAAAGAACCATGAAACATAGCATTTGTTTTTGCACTTTGAATTTTAAACAATGGAAATAATGAACGCTATGCAAATTTTGATTGGATTTTCATTGACAACTTTTCAGTCAACAGAAAATGAAATAGAAGCAAACAAAACAATCAAAACTCAATGCTTCTTATTCACAATGACTCCACTTTTCTCACTGATCAACGATGAAACGTTGTTATAGTATATTTTGAAAACGAACTGATTTTTTTTTTGATCCTGTGAATTAACTTTATTCATTGTGTAGGGAAACGTAGCGTTTTTGTTCATGAAAGGAACGGAATGTTCTCCGTGACAATGAGAAAAATTGAAACGATTCGATTTGAACGCATCCTAAACAGCTCACAACGTATAAATGTTATACACAGCGATTGTAGAATTAAAATCGTTCTACTCAGACTAAATTGATCACCACAGCTCACAAGTGGTGAGCTTCATTGTACTCATTTGCAAAAAACATTCCAAAATTACATCTCGAACACTCTATAGCAAAGAGGACTTCAGTTCGTCCGAAAATCATTTTTCCAACAAAAATAATTCCTCTTCATAAAATTACTTGACTTTTTGTGATTTTTGATTGAAAATTCTCACAGATTCGATAGGAAACTGAATACGATTAAATTACAACGGTTTTGCTGAAAAAGGTAAATATTTTGTTGAACAAGATACACTTTTCAATCGATGAAGTGGTTTTCTCGATGCCAAAATGTCAATTCGAAGCCAAGCTATATCTCGACGAAATGTTCTCCGGAATATTTGTTTCGAAATTGAATGAAGATTTAATTTGATCATTAAAAAATTGAGAAAAATTCCATTTATTACATAGAACTTTTCAACAATAAATAATTGATTGCATCTAACCATTTTTTTTTAGGTTAAAGCCGTATTGAACTGAAAATGAGCTGGAGTACATTACTATTCGACTATTCTTCTGCCACTTCTGAATATGAAGAATGGATTTGGTGCCAATATTGTCCAAACCAGATGCTTGTGTCAGCATTAAAAGGTCATATAAATCGGAAGCACATGATTCAGTGTAGTTTATGCAATAATGTAATGCCGAAAAGTTCCATAAGCCGCCATGTGTTGCGCAAACATTCGATCATTGTCGGTAATATTGACATACATGACGATGAATTCAACAAATTGATGAAAGGAGGAAATATTTGCGCAAGAAATGGGGTGATCTATGCAAAGAAACTATGAAACAGAGCACTTGTTTCGATACTTTGAAATTCGATCAATGGAAATAATAAAAGCCATGCAATCGCACAGTTTCAAGGACAACTTTTTTTTCAACAGAAAATGAAATAAAAGCAAAAAAAAAAATTCACCGTTTTTTATTTACTACGGCTCCATTTTTCGCTTTGACCAACGATTTTTCGCATTGTTTGTTTGTTTGTTTTTCAGGCTGACTAATCAAAACAAAAATGGCAACGAGAGCAGATTCAGTATATTTTGAAAATAAACAGACTTTTACTCTTCAGTGAATAAGCTTTATTTGTTGCATAGAAGAAAACGTAGCGTTCATGAGAAGAATGGAATGTTCTCCTTGACAATGAGGAAAATTGAAGCGATTCGATTTGAACGCATCCTAAACAGCTCACGTAGCATAAATTTTGTGAATTGCGGTTGTGTTATTAGAATTTTTCTACCTAATCGATCACCGCAGCTCACAAGTGGTGAGCAGCACAACTACAAGGATAGAAAAATCTACGCGATTCATTTTGACGTTTATTCATTTGCACACGGCATAGTCATTGCGAAATTACGGCTAGAATACTCTACAACAAAGGGAACTTCAGTTCGTCCGGAAATCTTTTTTTTTTCTCAACAAAACTAACATTTTTCCATAGAATTATTTCACTTTTTGTGATTTTGGATTGAAAGTTCTCGCAGATTCAATTGGAAACTGAGCAAGATTGAATTGCAACGGTTTTGCTGAAAAAGGTAAATATTTTGTTGAACAAGATACACTTTTCAATCGATGAAGTGGTTTTCTCGATGCCAAAATGTCCATTCAAAGTCAAACTATATCTCAATGAGAGAATCTCCAGAATAATTGTTTCAAAATTAAGTCGATATTCAATCGAATCGTTGAAAAATTGTGAAAAAATCGACATATGAGTAAAATCCATTCATAACTAGAACTTTTCAACAAGAAATTGATTGCATTCGACTGTTTTTCTAGGTTAAAGCCAAGGTGGTCAACATGAGCGAGCGGTCGTATTCAGATTCTTCTCGTGTCGTTTACTGGGTGACGTGCCGTTTTTGCCGAAACGAAATGCCGGAATGGGCTGAAACGCAGACACATTGCAGCACAATGCAAGTACTGTAGAAATTGGATGCCAGATCGATCTCTGGATCGTCACATTTGGAACAAGCATCAAAATGTTCGCAATATTCGACCATTCGCCGAATTAACTGAAATGATCAAAAACATCGCACGTGAACAAGCACGCGAAGCAGTGCAACGTGAATCTGTACCAGAATCGGATCGATACAGACCTTATTAACTATGTGATGCACCATTTCTCGTCTATCGTTTGAACGTCCAGACAATGAATCGTCGATTCAAAATCACCTTATCTTTGTGTCCCAACCAAATTTGAAATAAACTTAAAAGAACAATTTTGCTACAAAATAATCATGCTCAATGTTTTTATTCGCATTTTTTTTTCTCTGAACAAAATAGAAGAATTTACAGGGCCGTAAAATTGATCTGTTGCATATTTGCTTCTGTGTGTCAGTCTTTTATACGTCGCTTCAATTTCCTCATACAAATCTGCCGTACACACAACAGTGCCATGTACAAAACGAAATTTCATTTTGTATAAAGAAACGGAACCGAAAAATTGTTTGTGAAAACATAAACTTTCTATGATCAACAAAAAGAACACAGAGCTTTTTAAGTCGTTCATCGGTTCGCATATTTGCATATGAAAATTGAGCAATATGTGCAAAAATATGTAAAAAGGGTACCATTGTTCGAAATGTAAATGGATGTGAAGAAAAAAAAATCTTTGTTTTAAATTGAATGGAATCAAATCCGCGCCTTTTCACTTCGTCATTGAATGCACCACGATATATGTCACCGCGATATATGTGATATAGGCGTCAGTACCGTAAAATTTCACGTATGTTCGATCGCGCCAAATTCACCAATACAACACCTAAAAGTAGACGCCATTTTTTACATGCAGTCATTGCACATACACACGGTGTTGCTCATTTCCATCTCAATGCCCACAGGGAGAACATGTTCTCCCTGTGTGGCAAACATTTTTCTAGTAATTTAGAAAAGTTTCGATTTTATTTCAATAGAAATTAATATTTGCGAAAATGAGTAAGTAAAATTGTTTCAATTTTTCTGTGTCGTTTGAAACAAACGTTACCAGGAACAAAGGGATATTAGAAACATTTTTTTCCATTGTATCAAATTGAAAAGGAATGTATGTACGTACATTCAAGTAGAATTAAAGTGAAAATATATTCATTTGCGCCATTTTGGTTTCGTCGCTGAATTTACTGCGACGTATGTTTGTGCTACGGTGACATCGTAAATTTTCTCGTGGACAAGAAACTTGTGCATAAATTCGATTGCGCACACAGAAAAGTAAGATGGAGTAAGACATGCAGTGCATGTCATGCACACAAGAATGCTTTTTTCAGAGCAAAAGAATTGTTCGGTACGAAAATGTGAATCATCATACGGTCACATCTTGGTGGTTCTTTTTATCCATCATTGCAGAAAATATATGAATTTTGCGTGCGATGAGCTCAAGTTTCTTTTTCCAGCATTGAAGATTCATTCTTACAAACACGTCGATAAGGTTTCGAATGTATTGCTAGCGATTCAAACCAACTAATGCATAGAGAAGACTGTGAACATGTGTAAGTGTGTTACTTCTCTCCTGAAGGCACCATCAATTTTCATATACGAATGCATAAGTTTGATTGCACACGCCGAAAAATCAACTCAATCACACACACTCAAACATGCCGTTCTTCGTAGCAAAAGATATGTTAGATACAACCTTCCTACGGTCACGCCTCAGCTTTTTCTACCCAATATTGTAACAAAAATGTGAGTTCCTATGCGTGCGATCAGTTTAAATTCCCTTTTCCAGTAAACTACACACATACACATCATGCGTCGTTTCCCTTTCTATCCTTTGCCGTATGCATTTCCGACGTGGGTGTAACACTCTGATACTAACAGGTGTTATTCTGCGTGCAGACTCCGACTGATGAAGATCAATTTCTCGACAGCACTCAAGTTTAAAATAATCAGACAAATAAAATTCGCATCACAGTTTAGTGATTTCTGTTCAGAATTCTGGGGCATTTTTCAAAACTACTATAATTTTCTTCAACATTTTCACATTTCTCGCAAATAAATTGCCAATTTTCACCATTTTTCCAAGATTTTGTGAGTTTTTTGTGATTGTTCATGTTCAAAATCGTATTTTCTTTAAAGAGATGAGTTTTGAATGCAAATTTTTGCAGTTGATTCATAATTTTTGAAAGAAAAAAGACATTTTTGTGTAGATTAAATTAAAAATTTGCATGAAAAAAAAAATTTGAATTACAACAGTGGTTTTTCCTAAGAACAATTAACATTCTCCGTTAAATTTCATCAAAATGTGCATAAAAGTTGTGATTTTTTCTAATTGGGTTTGGTCATTTTTGCATAGTGTTAACGGAATTAGTATGAAAAGTTTGAAAATTGTGTGCAATTTTCGGACTATTTCAAGACAATTAGATGATTCTCGTTGAAAACTCTCAATAGACCATTTTAATTCAGTTTTTTCTGTTCAAAGAAATTCTGTCAACAGTTCAAGTCAATCGACTTCATTCTTCGAATGACAGCGTTTCATTGTTTACTACGAAAGACAATGCGTTCAGTTCATAGAATCTAATTCAAGTCAAGCTATTCATAAATCAAATGTTCGATTGATTGCTATTGTGTTTCTCTTTTGAATTCATTGTTATTGTTTCGATTGAACAGAGTGTTAATTTTTCATTTCATGCATTTTGTTCAAAAGGTGTCCGATTGATCGCTGAGGATAAGAAGCGAAAATGGTGGAAGTGCTGTGTGTCGATCCCACGTTTGTCGTGCATTTCAAAGATCGAAATGTAGCTTTTGCCAATGGCTTCGCACGGCTCTATGACATGGAACACCAATGCGACCTCACGTTCCTCATTGAAGGCAAAAAGTTGAAAGCACATCGACACGTTCTGTCATTTGTTTCCAAAGCACTCAAGGAACAATTCGACACGCTCCCTGTTTGCGATTTGATCGAAGGTAAGATTGCTTTTGTTTCCCTCGAAATTCATTGTCATTCTCCCATCAATTCGGTGAAATTTGACTGCAATTCCACGATTTTCGTTCAATAAAAAAGCAATTCGATAGTGTTTTATATCCGATGTTTCAAAGCTAACTCGATTCTTCTGCATTTTCATCAATCCGAACAGTCGAATGGCAAGGTGCATCGTATGAAACAGTCAAGAACGTGCTGCACTACATCTACCATGGCTTGGTTCGAATGAAGCAAACCGAGTTGGAGACATTCGTGCAAGCCGCTCAGTTCATGGACATTGCCACGAGCTTGCAAGATTTGAATTTGGACGCGATTTTGTCAACGAAACGGGAATCGTGCGAGATCATCTATGACAGCTGTGGTGAAGAATTCGTCAAAGGTTTCCAGAAGTTGTACACGGAAGAGAAGTTCTTCGATGTGACGCTTCAAGTGGAAGGCAAAGAATTGAAGGCGCATCGTCAAGCATTGTCAGCTTGCTCGACGTACTTCGAGGCAATGTTCGGCGTTTGCGACATCAATAAGCCGTTGCAAGGTGAGTTTTGCGCACTTTTTCGCTGTAATCATTTCGAAGTTTCAAGAATTGGTTCAAATTGTCTTCAAAAATTTGAAAACATTCGATTGAATTGATTCAAGTTCCAAAGAAACTCAATAAAAAAAAAGTCGAATCAGAATGAAAAACTTAAACTCAATTCAATTCTGATTCAAAACCGCGAGTTTCTGTCTTTCAACTCACCACCGATTTGCTTATTCTCAAAGATTTCCTTCATTCTCTCTCATTTCCAAAAGTGCTCATGGATGACTACATCACGTACGAGTCATTGCAGAACATCTTGCGTTACATCTATTTTGGTGAGGTGACCGTCGACGATGCGGTCAAATTGCTCAACATCGGCGAGATACTTGAAATCAGTGGATTGGAGCGTGCTGATGACCTCGTGGCTGATCGCCCCATTGAAGGCAAGCCAAACGTGTTCCAAGTGTATTCGAGCTCAAAGAAGACCACTCGAACCATTCAACCGGTTGTGATCAAAGCGAATCGTCCGAAGGGGTTGAAAGCGATGAAATCGCGTCGTGTTGTCGATGACAGCGACTCAGAAGGTTCAATCTACGACCCAGGGAACGACAGTGACAATGGTGGAATGATATTGCGACGACGCAACCTGATGGTCACAGGTGCAAAGCCAAAGAAGGGTCCAAACACTCGTCTGGCGCAGAAGCGAGCTATAAATCCATTTGCTCAAAAGAAGCAGGTCAAAGCGCCAGCGCAAATGGTGAACAAAGCTCGAGCAGTTCCGAAACAACCACGACCAATAAGTGTTTCGCGGCGAGTCCAGCAAACTAATGCTCGCGTCAAGCCGAATGCAATCAAGCAGAGTGTCGACGATGTACCGGACAGCATGAACATCTCATTGAGTCAGGAAGAGTTCGATCAATTGGCACCGATCTACGACGAAACGGATGAAAACTTTGATCAAGAAGAGGGCGCCGTGGGCTTTTCACCAGAGTATGATGAAGAGGGCGATGAAGTTCGATTTGCTTCAACGACTTTGAAGCGAAAACGCGAAGATCGAAACAACAACAAACGTGCTGTTGGTTCACGTGCGATCAATCGAAAGAATGATGCAGAGTTCGATGACTACAACGAAGACAATTCGTTAGATTGGGACATCGACGAACAAAATCAATGCGAATACGGTTCAGACGATGAAGATATGGTGGATTCGACAGTTTCCTATGGAGAAAACGTGTATGTCGAAGATCTGACCGTCGGTCAATATGAGCATGGTCAATCGAGTCAAAACGCATGGGCAAGCAATGATGCGAGTTATGCTGATTGCGAAGTCGATGACCAGCTGGGAGCAGTTAAAGTGAAAGCTGCAAAGCCGAAAGGGGAAAAGGCAGTGGGAGGAACGTTTGGAGGACGTCTTGGTATTGGAATGAACGCTGTGCCGCTTGACGACAACGGTTTGTATAGATTGTGCATATTAATATTTTATCTTGTTCAGAAAATGGGACAGCAAATATGGCGAAATTCGAAACTTTTTCGTTCTTAGATTACAACGTTGAAGCAAACATCATAATTGGACCGAAAGGAGGACAAAGTTTGGCTCATGGTGGGAATCGATACCTAATGAGTCGACAGAGCAAAGATTACATACGTTGGCAGTGTTTTCGACGTAACCAAAAGGGCGGACGATGTTGTGCGTATGCTTACACCAAGGACATTGATGGAATGACCTTGGCTTGCTTACCATCAAACGACATTCATAATCACGACCCGAAATTCACAGCCGACATTGAGTAACTTAAAATATGTTTGCGATCGAACTAACATTCGACTTAAGCGATTTGACTTAATTTATTTAGTTTTAAGCATCAGCATCATTGATTAGATTAGAACCAAAAGGAGATCATGAATTTGAAAACAAGGCAATAGTTACAACAGTTTTCAAGTTTTGATAGAAAATTTCAAGGGAGTTATTCGAATACCAATCATAATAGTTGTTTTGTTCTTATTTCCGTCATATTAAATTTTTTAAGAAACGTTTTTTGAATGAAGAAACAAAAATGTTCAATTTCTTAAGCAAAGAATTCGTTGAATTCAATCATTAGTCCATTTTCAGTAGTGAATCAAACATCGATATGTCAATCTTGAACAAGAAATTTTCTATGAAAGGAAATTTCATTGGAAATGGTGCTGAGGTTTGTAGACAAATGTATCGTTCGAAGAATCTGTTCCAATTCAAACAAAGCACAGAATTCTTTCAAACATATCGCTTTGACGGTTTGAAAATAATTAATTCATGCAACAATTGTCAGAGCTGAATGCATGCAATTCAAATCAAAATCTCATTCCTTCTATTTGAGATTCTTCGAAATTTGTAATTCTAATCAACTTAGAAAATTCAATCTAATTTGTTATCATTTTTATCTAAAGTCGGGTTTTGTCAAATTTTTCCTTCAATTCAATTGAGAATTTATTCAATTTCAGTGCTTGTTGATCAAATCAATGTTTTGAACGAACAAGATTGAATACAGAGACGATTAAACGCATTCATCGAATCAAAATGTCAAATGGGACAGTATAATTTCAGAGCGTGATTCAACAAAATTTCATCATTGGACTTTGACTCTCGGCGTTTCGATTCGAAAAGATTACACAATTCATTTAGAATTCGCTTGAACAACAATTTTTTTTTGTTCAAACTTGGAATATATCCCAACATTGTGAAAAAGCTCTTGATTTCTTGAAGTAAGTATTGAACCGAAAGTGAAGTTTTCGCTGCGCATAAAATTGTATTTGTTTTTGAGAAGACGCCATTTTTCGTACGAACAATTTTTCATATGAGGATCTTTTGAGAATGGATTTAGAGTTAGCTTAAGAAAATTAGCTCTTGGAATGAAATTGGGAAAGCCATAATGTAGCATAAAATATAAACAAAATTAACGATCAATAAAAAAAAATTCCAGATTTTGTCTCATTCAGTCTAAAAAGATCACAAAAAACCAAGTGTATTGCTAAAAATGATAACTTTTCTCATTTTAGACTGTCGCTCTCGTCAACTTAACCTCAATTTCCAAGAAGCTATCAACAGAGTGTTTTTGTTCGTCATTCCATCAAAGTGTGGATCGTCATCCAATGAAGGCTTGTGTATCATTCGATTGATTGTGTCTCCTCACAAAGCGATTCATCCACCAAAATTGGCCAGAATGTCATCACGCCACGAGCCAAGCGATGGTTATTCCACCCCACTTTACTCGAACATCGGTCGAAAGCTGTACTTAAACGATGAAACAGCCGACTTCCACTTTGTTTTCGAAACCAGTGCCACTGAAGTGGAATTTGTTCCAGCGCACAAGCACATACTGGCCGCCGCAAGTAGTGTTTTCAGTGGAAAGTTCAATGGTCCATGGAAAGAAGCAAACCATGTCAAAATGTTCAACGGTTCGCCCGGTGCATTCAAGGAATTCTTGCGATTCTTTTACTTTGATCATGTGACTGTCACCATGAAACATGTCGATGCACTCATCCTCTTCGCCACAGAATTTGGGGTCGTCGAATGTTCAGATGTATGCGAAAAGTTCCTGGATGAAACCATCCTTTGATGCTCAAGAGCAGCTCCACTGGAGAATGACTTCCAATCTCAAGGCAAAAAATGTTCAAACAATAACACTTCATTTTGAAGTGAAAAAAGGTTAAAGAAATCGAACAGATGAAAACAAATGTCCATTCAATTGAATTTTTTTTACAAATATTAGTTTAGATTTATCTCTGTTCGTTGCTAATGCAAATTACAAATATCAATACTGAAAATCGATTTTAGCTCAAGTTTTAACACACATTGCCTATTAAGGATTTTTTTTACCAAAGACATACAAAACCAGGAATATTTTACAATTTTTAAATTTTTGTCTTAAAAAGGCATAGTCATTCTAAATAGATACTTGATGCAATAGCCAACTTCTCATGTAATGAGCAAATCAATTGGAAAATTTGCTTTTTTTCTTTGTCTTTGAAGTGAAGACACTTTAATTTCTTTCTGAAGCTAAATGAAAAGCTTAAAACGAAAACAAAATACAAATAAAATAAGATTTATTGAAAGAATACAGTAAAGCTCAATGGCAAATAATGAAAAAAATCGCCAGTGAATAAACAATATGGTTTAATAGAAAAATGTATTAAAATGATGAAAAGCCAAATAAAATCAAAAACAGTCAATTGAAAGAGTCTGCGTTTATTTCGAATTAATAATATCTTCTGCATCTCGGATGATATTTCCGCCAAATTCCACTTCATTTAGGCAGACTCTGTATTGGACATTTTTCTGATCCCTTGGTTCACCGGCGAACGTGTAATGCTGTCTACTTCTTAGAAAATCCTTCAAATCTTCGCATGGAATTGAGTTATTGCTGATGTTCAATAGTTCAAGCTTTGGCACATTTACAACGTCCATTCCGTTTAATCTTGTCAAATTGTTCCCATTCAAGTAAAAAAATATTACATTTTTAAACGTTCCACGTGATTTCAGGTCAATTTCCCACAGATAATTGTTAGAGAGATCCAAAGTGCGCAGATTCCATTCGGTGCTCAGGCTATCCGTATAAATTTCGCGTAAATGTGTCTGGCTTTAATTGAGACTTTGTAAATTGTGACATTTCTCAAACAAACTCACGTGAGCCACTGGCAAATAGTTTGAGGTTAAATCCAAAACTTCAACTTTTGTTCCAAGTTGTTCGATCAATGCTCTGGTTTGTGCAATAAAATTGTGGGCAACATTGAGATGAATGAGATTTTGGAAGCATTCGACGCACCAGAGTCGATTGATTTGGCTATTTTCCAAGTTTAACTCTTTCAATTTTGTGTTATTCAGATTTCAATTCGCTCAGTTTTTGAAATGCATTTGCTTCGACGTAATGAATGTTGTTGTGTGAAAAATTCACTATCACCAATTGCGATGAAATATTGCTCAGGTCGGTCAAGGTTTTGGGGTACCTTCCGAACAAAAATTGACATTTTCATAGTAAAATCCATGAAAAACGTATATTTTGTTGGGGAGGTACCTTAAAAAGTCAATTTTGAGAGTTTTTGTCTGGGTAGACTCCCCATATTTTCGAGAAAAAATAACATTTCACCAAGGCACCATCCCTAAAAAGCCTATACTTGAGGGTTTTTTGGTCAAAAGTTGATTTTTACTTTTCCGTACACAACGTGTCAAGGGAAAGTATAAGAATTGGTCCCGAAAACTTTTTTTCGCAAAATTAGCTTAGATCATCATAAAAACTCATGAAACGCGTAGAAAACCACTTTTTGAGACTTTTTTCCGTTCGTGTGCCGTCGTCGTTGTCGTCGTTGTCGTTATCGTCGTTGTCGTTGTCGTCGTTGTCGTTGGTGTTTGTTAACACGATAACTCAAAAAATAATTGAGATAATCGAAATCTGGAAATGCCAAAAGTTTTGTATCTGAAAAACTTAGTTTAAGTTCGAAGATGAGCCATTTTCGATTTGAACCTGGGGTACTTGCCCTAAGAAAAACCTCAAAAAATTGACACTTTTGTATGGGAGGTACCTGTAAATCGACTCCGATTGGCTTCAAACTTTCTGGGAATTCATTTTTTGGGAGAAAAATAAGATTCTGAAATTTTGAAACCAATCGGAATCGATTTACGGGTACCTCCCATACAAATTTTTTGAAATTTTGACTAAAATTACCGATTTTTGAACAATTTTGTATGGGAGATACCCGTTAATCGATTCTGATTGGCATCAAACTTTCTGAGGTTTCATTTTTTTTAAGATTCTGAAAGTTTCATGTTGATCGCATTTGCAGAAGTTTGATTTTTTGTCCTCAATTTTTGTCGACATTTTCTTGGGAAAAATTGAGGGTCAAAATACAAACTTCTGCAAATGCGATCAACATGAAACTTTCAGAATCTTATTTTTTCTCCAAAAAATGAAACCTTAGTAAGTTTGAAGCCAATAGGAATCGGTTTACCGGTACCTTTCATACAAAATTGTCGAAGTTTTAGTTAAACTGACCGATTTTTCACTTTATTTTCATTATTATATTTTCACTGCCTTTATTTCAAGAAATTTCACAAAATATAACCAAAAGTAACTACGGACAACGCAGGCCAACGGTACGGAAAAGTTCGGGATTACCAATGTAATTCTTTTTATTTGGGAGTTGAAATCAAATATGAGGCCAGAAATATGTGAAAACATCACTCGATTTGGTCGTGTAAGTACCCAAAATGTTCGTAAAGGACCATACTAGATGTTCAAAGGCAGAAAAGGTAGAAATCATTTGCTTTTACCTGTCAAACCGAAGCTCATGTTTGTGATTTGCTCATTTTGGCCTGAAATTTGTCTTATATGTGTGAATCAATTGTCGCCAAATTCCATCCAAATCGCAATCTGACAAGTACCAAAATTTTTATACAGGTTTTGGCTACACGACACAAGTCCAAAACTGAACAAAAGTTTACCACCTGGGTGGCCAGTAGAGCGAAAAATGCAAAAAATGCCGAAAAATTGCCATTTTTCTCGTCATTTTACACTGTAACTGGCCCAGAATGCCTTTTCAAGGCCTGATGTCTTGGTAAAAGTTGTAGATATTGACGAGCCAAACAAAACCTTATCATCAGTTTTTGCCGAGAATTGGCTGGAAAAATGATTTAGGTCGAAATGTTGCGATATGAATTGGCATCCGAAATCGCTGTCATGAAAATTTTGATATGGGGCTTGCCATGGGTTTTTATATGGTACCCATATGATTTTTTTGGACAGAACCTATTTTTTTGAGGTATATTTTTCGAAACTGCCCGGGCCTTTTGGATGAGGGACAACTTTTTTTTTTGGAGCAGTCTACGTGTATACCGATAAAATTCCATTGATAAGCCATGAACTTCAGTTCATGCTGTGCGTTATATAATATTTTCATCACATTTCTGTATGTGTGTAGGCTGAATTGCATTCTCCAGCATTTCAAGTGAAATTTCGCAAAATGTGTATGTATTTTGTTAGTTTGGAATACAAAATCGTTTCAGAATGTTTCCCGTGTGAGAAAGAAATGACTGACTGACTATAACTTCAGTTGACTTTAGTTGATTGAATTTATATTTTTGTTCTAAGAAAATCACTTGGTCCCAAATGAAGCAACTTAGATTGACTTGTAAGTTTAAATGATTTCAGTTAACTATGATAGACTTACACTACACTTTGTACTGAAATGTCAATCAAAGTAAGTCATTTTTGTCCCAAATTAGTTAACTGACTGGTCAGTTACTATTTTTTCACACGGGTTATTCCTGTATTGCCATTTTCATTCTCACAGCCTCATATGTGCCAGAATATTCAACAGAATATTGTTTGATTCGAACTGAATTCTTCAAACATTATTACGAATACAAATATAAAATAAAAAAACTCTTCGAAGGTATTATTTCAATTTTCAAATCGATAGAAAAAAATCTTGTTATCATTACAAAACAAATGATTATATCGACATTTCTTATCTTTCGTCAACTATTTTTTTATGTTTTCAGATTTCCATGTTAAAAATGATCATCTTTGCCAACTCATTTTCACGTTCGTTTGTTTTCCACATAGAATAGTTATTCTAATAAACTAATTCAATTTTAATTTTCTTGGGCAAAACGCATCAATAAAAAAAAGTTAAATTCGATCGAATTATGCGAAAAAAAAATTGCGAACCGTTTCCATCGTTGATGCATTCAAATGCTGTTCAACACATATTCAACTCAGCCAATTTCATACGCAATATTCCAGTTTATCGTCATTGAGCATTGATGTGGAGGCGCCATTTCATCTTTCCTTTCATACACATCTCTCGACTCAACCATTCTCATTATTCCATTTGCAAAACAATGTTTGCTAAAACAATCAATATTTCCTACGTAAAAAATTATTTTTGAAAATATTCATTCAAATAGTCAATTTTATTTTTAAAAAAAGAATTGGAAAAAATTCCATTTGTTTTGCATATGTGAACTGAACCAGAAATTTAACTCTCTATATTCAACATTGTGGCCGATTCACCGCATTCAACAATTCACCTCCACCTAACCACACGGAGATGATGAGTATGAAATCGCGCCAAAGAGCTGTCACATTGTTTAAATCAAAATAAATGTTGTGCAGAGCCGATGTTTTATTTCGCTTGTTTCCATTGTTTGATGTGCAGCTGTTCAGAATAGTCAAAAATTTTGTGTTTGCATTGAAAATCGATTGAAAAACGGTGTAATAAACTTGTTTAAAAAACGACAAAGATTTCATTAAATCTGCATAGAGTGATCTACATTTGTTTGTGTAGAAATAAAAAGTACTGTTACGATTGACGAGCCGTGTGCGTGATAAAGGAAAGCAAAGACGATATACACACAAGCATATTTGAGTAGCGGTGCGAGCGAAACAACAAATCCAATTGACGAGCGTGCACTTGTATGCAAATTGAAACACACAATGGCAAATAAATTCATGAACGCAACACTTGAAGAAGGCGAACTCGAGCAGTCTGTGTGCAGCCTTGCCGAGAAATCGTGGTACGAAGAGTGTGAAGAAGCCGAACGAGCAATGACAGTAAGTAGTACCGTCGGTCACACCAACCATTCTCAATCTCACACTCACGACACACACGTTTTTGTTGTTGGTTTTCTTGTCAATTTTTTTGTACGCTTTTTTGTAACCATTTTTTTCCTTTTTTCATTTTTTTCATTTTGTGATAATTTTCCACATTTCTTATTGAAAATATCGGATCCAAGTGATTAAGGCAATATTTTTTTTACCGCTTTCAATCCTGTTAATACGCATTGTTTTTTCTTCTCATTGAACAGAATCGTACAAGTGATAGTTGTATGGCGGTCGACGCGTCGACCCGTGATACGGCCAATGGCTCGTTTACCGAGGCAAAAGATGCCAGCGGCAGTGAGCATTCGACCAGTGGTGATCGCGAGATTTTGGTCGCATTTTTGGAAGCATCCAACGAAGCCAAGTTTGAGCGATTGGTGAAAGAGGAAAAGATTAAAACATCATTCAAACGCTGCTTGTCACCCACTTCGGCATCCAATTCATCCGATTCAAAGCGTACTACTAGCTCACCATCCGATGATAAGGAGGATCGCAAACGTGATCTGTCGTCAGACTCATCCAGCGACCGGTCGGCCAGTTCCGCCGGTAAACGGGCCCGCGAACTCGAAACCGATGAATCCATTTTGGACCGAAGACAAAAGCAAATCGACTACGGAAAAAATACAATCGGCTACGATGTGTACGTGAAACAGGTTCCAAGGTAAATATGTGAACTTATTTGTATTCTTTGTTTCAATCTGGACTAGTATTTTGATTTTTTGGCATGAATTTTCAATTCAGTGGTTTGAATTGAATTTTTTTTATTCCAGAATATCAATTTAATTACACAATTTCCACAAATTACGGCATTTTTGGTTCAATTTTCGTCAATTTTCATAACAAAAAAATATTGCATCGCCCAAAAGACTCAATCTAAGCTAATAAAACAGAAATTAGAAAAAAAAAACCGTCAAATTATTCTCATTCGTGCATGAAAATTTCGAATTTTCGAGCAAATTTTAGCAGAAATAATACAAATTTTGAATAAAAAAAATAAAATAACCAGTTCGAATCGTCAATTTGTTGAATTACATTTTCGCATTATTTTTTCTGCCAATTTTTTTCGCAATCCTGCTCAAAAATCTGATTCATTTAATTTTGGTTCAATTAAATGCGAATTTAATTCCGTTCAATTTTTTTTTATCGAATTTCTTCACTTTTGTTTCGTATTTTAGCATCTTTATTGAGGGAATTGGAGAAAAAAATTCTTTTTATTTGTTAAACTTTATCAATTTTTCCTAATTTAGAAAATATTTTTGCTATTTATCAAATCGTGTCTCATATTCAATTTATTTTCATTAAATCCCAAATTTTACTTAACATTTTTCTTCGGAAATATGCTTGATTAAATGTAATTCAATTCTTGTTGTTCTTTATGTAATGAAATTAATTCAATTCGTATTTCTTTTTCGCTATTGCAGAGAAAAGCGAACGACCGAGCACCCATGGACACCGCAAAAGAATTTAAAGTACAGTCGTCGTGCGTTTGATGGTTTGGTGAAGATATGGCGTAAAAAATTGCATTGTTACGACCCGTCCAACATGAGCCATTCCGGAGCAACAGATGAGAAATCGGGCAAAAGCGTTTAATTGTCACCGAAAATAGAAACAAAATATTCCCATTTTATTTCTGCGTAGAAATTTTCATATGTAAAGAATAAGCAAATAGTTTAATGTTTCAAAACTACGATTTATGAATTAAATAAGCAGAAAATGTTCAATACCACCTCAGCAAAAAGAAAGCCACTTACTTATTAAGCGAATAAAATATTGCAGCCTCAAATCCTTGCTAAAAATAAAAAAACAAAATCAAATTCAACTCGTACAACAAAAAAAAGAAAAATCGAATTGAACATGTTCATTTTCCATTTAAATTTGTAATTAAAATTTTAATTTATTTCTAGAATTTTTTTTTGTATTTTAATCGATCTTAAATACACTTAAAAGCCTAAAATAATGAAAAATTCACTTTATCTTTTGATTTATTCAACAACAACAAAATCGTATCTGTGTGTTAAGTGGGTTTTATTTCGGGATTAGTTGTTTTTTTTTGGTTGAGAAAAAAGGGGTTCATTTTAAAAGTCTTTTGTCAATGTCTTTACGGAAATCGAAACAAACAAAATCGGCCTCATTTGTCATGACTATGTTTGATTTTTTTCCCCCAACGATTCACTTTCACAGTTGCAGTCTTTCACCGAAGAATGCGTAGAAACAGATTAGCACTGTGACGGTAGGGTGAGGACGTTAATTGATGATGTGCTCTCGCCGAATAGAACATCGGATTTGGTGTTGACGATAAATACCAGCACAAATGATATGAGCATAACACCGAATCCGATGGCCAGCGTGAATGCTTCTTGGGACACTGGCGGCTTGAGAAAAATGCGAATATTAATCTCGTTCCATGTCGATTCGGTCCATGTTGAATATCGGCCGGATTTCCAGTCATAATCGTCGATGGAAAATGCTGGACTGTAGGCATTGGATAGGTTTTGTGTGGTGTATAGACATTCGCCTTTTCCATTGAATCCGGCAAACCAAGCCAATGGTAAAACGGTGCAGTTTCCCTTGTTAGCCGTTTTATCGGGTCGCCCGGTTAAGAAGCCAAGCACTCGATAGGTCCAACCGACGGTTTCATACGACAATGAGTTTTGTACACTGACATATCGTTGCGGTGGCAACGGTAGAATGGGCACAGCTGCATCTTTCACAGCTGCTAGGAATAGTGGACATTTGGCCGATTGCAAGTAACAAAACAGCATCTCATCGATCAAATATGGATTTGCTGCCAAATCGCTAGTGTATTCACCTCCAGTCACGAGTTCATACAGCGAAAAGGCCAATGCTGATGAAATATTTCGAATGCCCAATTGGATCGATGGCTGGAACACTTTTTCCTTAGTCCAATCAACGAGCGTTGTGAAATCTTGACTCGTATTCTTATACACAAACTCGATATTCTTGTCATTGTCATAAATCGAATGGTAGAATCGATTTTTATGGTTGTCCGAGTAGAAAATCACAGCCGGAAATGATTGATTATCGCGTAAAAATGACTGAGCCGATGTTGGCGGTAAATTTTTCGTCGTGTTGCGCTGAACATCAAAAACTGAGCCAAATTTCTGAATATTCGTTTTGAACATGTTAGCGATTTTGTCACCAAGTCCAAATTTGCCAAATTGATAAATGGTCGTTGAGTTGGGGCTGTCCAGCGAACCGATATCGATGAACAATTTGATGTCGCTCAGCTTAATCGGGTTTTCTGATGACGGTGGGAAAGCACCTTTTTCCAAATCGTACACAAAACGCTGCGATCCAATATAGTCATAGGCTTCACCATTGAACAGCATAAACATAACGTTGTAGCGACCGTTGCTGTGGGCGGCGAGCAATTTATTGAGAGTATGAGCGGTGCTCATGAGTGTAACGGCTGGCACAAGTGAATCCATAGCACCAAGGCCAACTCCATCAAACATCGACGTTGTGTCAATTCGAGTACCAACCAAAATCAAATTTTCCGACACCTTCTCTGGCAATCGTGGGAACAATGTTGCATACACATTTTTACTCTGCAACGGATCACAGTAACGCTGTGGATTCATATTATTCATGGACTTGGTGCGTCGCATGCAAACGGCTGAATTCACAGCGGCCGACATGAATGACTTGATTTGAATGCTGCATAATCGTCGTTTGTGCTGGCCATTTATGTCGTGTGCATTAAATTTCTGGTAGCAATTGACCAAATTTTGAACGTTCTCCGCATCTTTCACGTAAATAATTGGGAATGGGAAATTTTCATGCAACAATCTCGTACCGAATGGGTTCCATGTTGTGTTTGGACGGCTCGCATCACACGTTTGATCCGGCAGACCGCCGTATTGATTCGGACAATTCAATTCCGAACTGAAATGCTCGATATTTGTGCCATTTTCGATGAGAACGATACCGGCCACGTTTTCTTTGGCTCGAGATGTTACCTCCAGAATGTTTTCACGGTTGAATAGCCATGGTGGCACAAGTAATGTATATGGTGGAGCTGGTGGTTTACTCCATAGAAATGCAAAGTCGGCATGACTTTCAATCAAGTGTAAAACACCTACGGATCCGCCCAATGTTGAACCACAGCCCGTTGTATGCGTCGCATTCAAACGACGGAAACATATCGACCCACTGATCGTTGAGTACATTTTATCTTCCAACCGATCACACAATATCAACGGCACCAGCAACACACAGAATATCCATTGCACGGGTACATTCATTTTGGACTGTGGCGAAGTAATTTTATTCTCGAAGTTGAATTTTATCGGTTCAATTTAATGGTGGTTTAATGTTGTGTCTCTCTTAAATTTTCCGCCGGATTCCGATTTATTCAGCCTTATTGAACGCTACTTAATGTAAATAGCTTATCATTTTTGCGATAAACAAATTACGCCTAAATAGATAGAATGAACATTGGTGCATTAGAATTGGTATAATGTTAGTTTTTATCCGTATTTATGTGGATATTCTTGAGGCACACAGCAAAAATGGCTGGTAATCTAACGAAGGTCATTCATTACTCATTCGTTACTCACCTAGATTTGGTCGGATTTCTAAAAAAAAGTAAAAATAATTGTTTGGTTCAGTCCACAGAAAAACACCAATAATTATTACACAGCTTTTGACCATTGACTCAGCTATTTGTAGTCGAAACGTCACTTTTGTTGAATACATTATACACATATGACAACAACACAACGCCGCTGGACTGTTAGGTGTATAAAACATTTGTGATTCGAATGATTTTCAAAAGATGGCGTGCGCTTATGGAGGCTTTGCTTCTTTGCTGGGAACCATGAATTCAATGGGAATGTTGGAAATTTTTGTTTTGTTTTGATGGGAGAATTTTTTTTCACATTTTCTTGTAATTTTTTCGTTTCTAATTTTTTGTGCGGCAAAATGATTTAATGGAAAAAAATTTCATTGAAAAACTTTTGCACGAATCCAAAAAAGAAACTTAATTTCCAAATCTCAAAATAAACGTCACTGTATCATCCAAACACTCTCCCTCCCTCTACATTCGTCGAGTTTCATTGACAGCCGCACCAGAAATCACTACACATCTGCTTTGACAGCTGTTTTCTTTCCTCTTGAATACATTTAAAATGAATGTGAGAATTTCGTGCAAACAAAATTATTTCATTTGTGGCTCAACCGATTGAAAGTGGGACTTGAACAAATAAATTTGTGTGCCGGTTTTTTTTATCTATCTAAAATCCAAGCACCGTTTGTTTGGCTGGCATAAATTGGTTTACGGTTTTACTATCAGTAAAATTCGATTAGCGGCGTGCTGTTCACGATTTCCAGGCTGTCACAGTGACTTCGATTTTTCTTTTCTTTATTTAGCGTTTGCGCTGATGTCAGTGTGTTCATGAGTACAGTATTGCAACGTATTGTGTCCACATCAGTTCGGAGTTTTACTTCACGGCAACAACAGTTTTTGCATCAAAATCAACAATTGCATCAGTTTAAATCACTGTTTGGACAACAATTTCTACGAAAAATGAGCACCGAAACAATAGAAAAGCCAAAAATTGTATTCGTATTGGGCGCACCGGGCTCGGGAAAAGGTACTCAGTGTGCAAATATTGTGAATCAATACAATTATGTGCATTTGTCAGCTGGTGATTTGCTGAGAGCTGAACGAAATCGCCCAGGCTCCGAACTGGCACAAACTATTGAAGAATACATTCAAGCCGGACGCATTATTCCCGTTGCGGTTACATGCTCACTTCTTGAACGGGCCATGAACGAACAAATGAAGGTAAGTAGTGGAATGAAAGTGTGGCTTTTTTGGTGCAAACAGTGGGAAAGATGGAAACAGTGGCGTTTTATAGCTATAAAAGCGATTTTTCAAGTGAAAATTCGAGTTTACACTCGAAAAATACGATTTTTTTTTTCAAGAAGTGTTGACGAGTTGAGCGATTTTTCATCATAAGTTCCAAATTTTACTAAATAAAAATTGAAATTTTACTTGAAGAGGCAGATTTCATAACAAAAACTGTTACGTCTTTGACAATAATTTTTGATGTGAAGGTCAAAAAATGTACTTGAAAGCCTTAAAATTGAAAATTTGTATGAAAATTAGAAATTCTACTTGGAAAAATTCAATTTTCTCAGAAAAATTTAGATTTTGCTTTGTGCTTTGGTTTGAAAATATCGAATTTTTATGTTGAAACTGAAAAAAAATTGACCTTAAATGAAAACCGCAGTCAATCTTCCGAACAAAGCTATAGCAATGTGCCAAATTTTCCCTTGTGAATGACCCCCCTTTATCTTATTTCCATTGAACAAATTCCATCATTTGTTTCTATTCTAACTTCTTCTCTCTTCTTTTTTTCCAGGCTGATGCTGCCAAGAATAAGTTCCTAATCGACGGTTTTCCACGCAACCAAGACAACTTGCAGGGTTGGATCGAGCAGATGGAGGCTAAAGTGAATCTACAATTTGTGCTATTCTTCGAGTGTCCAGATGGAGTATGTATAGATCGATGCTTGAACCGAAACACCGGCCGATCCGATGACAACATGGACTCGTTGAAAAAGCGTTTCGACGTTTTTTACACCGAGACCATGCCAATCGTTGACTATTATGACAAACAGAATCTGGTGCGCCGTGTGAAGAGTGAAAAACCAGCTGAGTTGGTATTCGAAGATGTTCGCCAGGCATTCAATGACTACAATGCCAAGTGAGAAGGAGATTGATGAAATTCAAAGACTGGACGAGCGTACATTCCAGCCCAAATGCGCCAATTCCCACCTCACTATACACACAGCTAACGCTCAACGTAACATTTCGTCAAGGTGTACGGGTTAATCCATTCTCCCTCAATCAAATAAATCAATTAATATTCTTTTGTTGTGTACATAGATTTAGTGAAGAAAAAAAAATGAAATGTGAATGAAACTTACAATTGTTGCACCAAAATAAAAACAACAACCAAATTGATAATAAACCCTGAAGTATTGCTAGACATACGGATTGAAGTTCATTGGTACTTTTTTTTCTCTCTTATCGCAGCTGCATGCATGAATGTGCCTAATTTGATTACAGAGTATGACGTAGAGAACGCTCCAGTTTTTTTTCTTCCGTTGAAAGTACGCTATTAGAAAATTGCTCTGGTGCCAAACAACATCAGCGATGGCGACAACGGATACGACTGAACAACTTTTGTTGAGTCATGCGACGATAAAGGGCTAAAGTATGCGGCATTGCGGTAAATACACGTGAACACTTGAAACAATGCTTCACACACTGATTACGAAACTGGACTGACAGCATTTCTAACGGGGTTTACAGTAGTAAGCCCGTAATAGAAATTATGTCTTCTATTTCTGAACTAATCTTGTTGAAAGTAGAAAGCGTGGCTAAGTGATGAAAACAATTTGTTAGAAAAAAATTAAAAAGAATCATTTCATGATGTACATTCCTCTAGGGGGTAGACACGAAATAACACTAGAAGAAAACTAGCAAAAATTGAGCATACTAGAAGTTACTAGAAGAATATTTGTGAAAAAAATTGAGTGATGCCTCTTCCATAAGAATAGCATTGCCAGTGGTTTTTATATGGACAAATTCTTCCATTTAAAATATACTGCCAATGCTTTGCTTATGGAGTTCAAATATTTTGTTCACAAAAAGTACCGTTAATCCTTCCATAAGAAATGCATTGGCAATACTATACTTATGGAAGAAGCAATGGTAGATACTAGAAATTCTAGCAGAATATTTGAGTTTTTGCTTGTATACTAGAAAAACAAGAAGAAACTAAACGCATATTTGAACCGATTTGAACAAACTAGCTATGCTAGAAATTGGTGTCTAACCCCTAGGCATTCCTATTTCACGTAATAATTGAATAACATGTACGCTTCGATCATAAACGTTCATTTTGTGACAAATCACTACTACCAATGATATCGCATGGAATGGTGTAATTTTTTTCAGAAACATGCAATCAAAACGTTCATATTTACAAACATGCAATCGGAGCAGCTAAAATTGGTTGTAATGCTATTGCACCCATTATCAGTTGATAATAAGCGACCGACGCCAGATTTTATATGGTCACACACATCCATAATCAGTCAGAAACCACATTTCGCCATATCCATACTCGGATTTTGAATAGCAAACCGCTTTGAAATGCCATTTGTCTTTGAGCATGACCGGAGCATCTGTTTGAGTTTTACTTCAATTCATAATTTATAGGTATAAGTTTTTGAACGTTTATATTTTTGATTAAAAAAATTAATGAAATTTTCGCAAGGCTTGAGATTCAAGCAAATAGCAAATATTTCTCCTAAAAAATTGTATTTATGCAAAAATTTGAAATAAATTTTTGGAATAATTTGAGCATTTCTTTGATGATTTTATTTTGAATCGATACGTTGTTATTTTTCTTACAGACATAAACATTAGTCAATTCCTTCGGAATTGGGAAAGAGTCTGCTAATTTTAAAAATTATGAGTGACTTGAACTGCTATAAACAATCGGCGGCGATCGATTTAACTGTTGATATCAAAACAATGTTAGCCTTGATTCGAATTCATCCAGTTTCATTCCGCTCATCATTCAATTATTTAATTTAAAAAAAATTAGCTAATTAGCTTTATCTATATATATAAAACTCATTGTGTGTGTATGTGTGCGTTTGTCCAATTTTTTTTTATTTTCATGATTTTTTAATTCTTGGTTTTAATGGTGAATATGTCGTTAGAATTCTCGCGGCTTAAATAGCAGATTCACATATCAGTTTTGATTTTCGAATTAAATTTTCAAAAGTTTGAAGAAACAATTTTTTTAATTGTTTTTCGATACAATGTACATTAATGTGGATTGATGGCAATGAAATATTGGTTTTGGAACAGAGTTGAACATGGACACCATCTCGGTCCATCATGGTCATGTTAACACGACTTAACACCATGAATAGTCAATATGGGTATCATATGAAAGGTTTTGGAACGGGGATGAAAATGGACACCATCTCGGTCCATCATGGTCATCTTAACACGACTTAACACCAATTCACATATGAAAAAAATGTGTGTAAAATCAACTTCAGAAAAAGGAGCAACTTTCCCAGAAAATCGTCTTTGCTTTGAAAAAACAAGTATGGAACATACGAAATGATACAGACTAACATTCATAATTGAATTTTGCTTTTTACGTCAAATTGTATCGTCATCTCACTGAAATGCTTAGTTTTCTTATTCATCTTTCTTGATTGAAAAAAAAACTAACTGAACGGAAGAGAAACCGAACTAGCGCCCAAGCCGAGCGAAGCGAGGCGAGGAAGCTAGTAATTTATAAATCATGGAATAATCCACCGATGGTGGAATGAAATGAAATTGATCCTTGAATGTAAATGTGCGCACAATTTCGAATCAAATCGATTGTTTATCAATTATGCCCGCAATTTGTTCGAAAATCAAAGTAAAAAGTGGTCTGGATTTAATCCACCCATACATCATCGATCCAACAGTACAACTGACGACGGTTAATAGAGAGAGAAGAGACGGTGCATAATAATAATCAAGATCCTACTTTCTTTTCATTTTTCATTGATTCCATCACTTTGTCACTATTTCTCATTAATTTTCATTTCTTTCTTTTGTGATTTTCTTTCTCCTACAGGTAGTTAAGACAGCTTGCAAATCCGAAACCGAATCGAATAATTGTTTTTTTTTTTCATTGGCTCAGAATGACAGGCTGCTCCGAGCATTGTACGAATTCAATTGGTATTTGCTGCCGATAAAGTATCAAAAGGATGTGATGCATATGATTCATCGACTGCAAAATGAAGTATCCTAAAGATGAAGTATCCTATCTTTATTTTCTCATAGAAATCAGAAGAATACATCAAATTTGCCCTAAATCAAACGATTTTAATTTCAGTTGACCCAAAAAATGTACTCGTTTTTGATGTTTTTGATCATTCTTGAAAAATGGACACCAATTCACATAAAATAACAGTCAATTCTACCGGAATAAATTGATTTTCAATGCAGCACTTTATGAAAAATGCTTAATTCACATAGAATAAAAATGCATTGCTTTTGCAAATCAAAGAGAAATTGAAAAATTCTTTCCAATATTTGTACCTTATGTTACAATATACAAATAAATGTAAAACTGAACAATCACGCTATAGTCAACAGCTTTTATAATTAAAAATTTATTGGTTACCAAATGCCATTCTTCCCACTCGAATGAAACAGCACCATGTGTTGTGTAGAAAAACGATTTTGTCTGTTTATGAGCCTAACGATGATTGCACAAATGTTCAGCAGAGGCGATTTCTATTGTTAATTTTTTTGTTCAATTTTCAGTTATCCTTAAACATTCACGGAGTACAACAATTGAAAGGAAAAGATCAAATTTTGTTTCACAATATAAAACCATGGCTAAAACGGCCAGACCAGTTGAAGTTTTTTTTTTGAAAATTGCTACAATCAAATGGGAAACTCAAATACCTTAACAAAAATACACGGTTTATTATTACAACGGATGTGACTATTTCATTAGATAGATGCCTGCTGAGTTTCTGCGTATTTGGAGCAATCATTTCATCATTAGAGGTTCTTGTTGTTTGGTGAACATGTGTGCAACTGATTAATTTCGGCTGCAGAGATAAGTTAAATCACGCGATATTTTCTTTTTAGAAACGATTCCCGAAATTGATTAATTTTTTAATTATTACTTTGAAAAACATTTCCATCGAAAATATGTGTGATGACGAATTAATTTTTTGAAGGTCAACATAAGGACAGCATGAAATCCTTTACGTTGGAACTTATATTTAATTATAAAGTTCTCTACGGTTTTTTTTAGTTATTTTTCGGATTTCAGTAAAGAAACACCATCGTTACAAGATCATTTTATCATCAGAAACATTTGAAAAATTCATTGATAACGCATTAAATCAAAAACATGGAGTTCAAAGGCGCTGAAACGGCATGGAGAGACAAAACTCCGGCTGAAAAATGGAAATATTTCTATGACTTCTGCAAGTGTATGGGAGACATACTGCAACTGCGAGTTCTCAGCAATTTAAAAGTTGGAATCGTGGGATATTTTCCATGTGTGACTGGAGTTGTTCATTATACGCTGCTGATTTACACCGTTTATTATTACGTCAAGTGCGGCCATTTTGCTGGGTGTCTACCAAGTTTTTGCACTTTTGGAGTCGTTACTTCGGTAAATTTGATAAAATTCAGAAATATTGAAGATATTTCCTCATTTGCACTTCCATTTCCATCCCCTAGGCATATTTAACATATTGGACAACTATATCAACAATCAAATACGAATGGAAACGATTGCTCAACGTTTCCGGCCAGTTTATTTACCGCGATGATCTCGAGCCAACCAATTACAATCGCATTTGTGAGCAGAGTATAAATGAATCGCTAAAAACATATATCATAACGATGACAGTGATAATATTATCATTCGTTGGAGCGGTCATTGGGCCGTTTTATACCTTTGTTCATAACGGAGAGTTAGTCACCCTCTACAGTTTGAAATTGCCATACTTCAATCAAGATCCATACATGGAATTCATGATAAATGTCGTTTGGCAATTC